GATCAATCTCCCTCCTTCCCTCTCTCTCCCTGTAGCTCTTTCCTTCAAATAAATAAATCTTATCAAAAAATTCTTCCAATTCTACTACCATCACCTCTTTCACACGCTGCCCTGAGTCTCTGAAACACAAGTCCCCTCTGCTTACAGCAAGATCACATTGTTGATGATGTCACTCCTTGTTGTCTTGTATTCTAAACTGCAAGCTTCCAGGTTACCCAGTCGGCTGCTCCCTCTTCATGGGCCAGTCTTTCCATAGGATCTCATCGTTCTGTGGGCATTGTACTCTCTTCCTTTCTCACAGCTGTGTATTTCCTTAGGTATTCTCCATTTTCTTTCTCCTCAGAGTACTTTCCACGTCATATAGTTTCTTGTCTACCCTCACTAACCTCTCAACTGCATGGAACCAAGGGCAGTATTTTGTTGCTAGCGTCCCAGAGCCTTGCACAGTGCCTGGCACACAGCAGGCATTCCATAGTATCCACTGAATGGATGAACAGACGAATGACCTCCGCCCTCCCTCTGTCCCTCCCAACACAGTCATGGAAATGGGGTCCCTCCTCAGGTTCTTTCAGAAGCCAGCCCCAAGGACAGTGATGACTCAGAGGGGGTGACACTGGGAGGCAGTGTCCTCCCTCCGTGCCTTCCTCCTCGTGGCTCCCGCTGGGGTATGTCTCAGTCCTGGTGGGACGGTTGTGGAGTGGAAGCAGTAGCTAACAGAGCAGGACAGAGGACGGAAGGAGAGCAGGGAGGCGTGGATGGATCTTGCTTCCTGCCCCACCCCCGCCCCTGCCCCACATGTTTCCCCTTCAGTCCCTTTTGGCCCCAGTCTTGCCCACCTATGGCTCTTTCCCCAGCTTCCTCCTCACTCTCCTCCTTAGCCACACCTCACTTTTTGCTGCCCTGATAGCATGGCGTCTAAAACCCAGAACTGAATCTCATCTCTCCTTACTAAATGACTTCTTGGGTCTCATGTTCTGAACTGAAAGTCCACGTTTTCTTTTTTTCTGAAAGTCACCCCAGTGCACTTGAAATGGGCAGCAGTTTCATTGCTAGTTTTTTGTGGGCAGCAATATGGAGTGGTTTCCCTGGAAGGCCCTCCCTGACTCCCCAGTGTGTGGTGCCCCAAGTGTCCCCAGCACACTTGTTCAGGCTGCTGCTGTGCTCACTGGTGCACCCAACAGCTACCTGTGAGAACCATTTCTCGAGGACACCCACAGAGCCTGGCACAGAGTCCAGGAATCAGTTCTGTTTTCTAATACACTAATCCTCTAGCACATTGTGGGGACCCATGGGTAGGCCTACCACGGGACCTCTGAGTTAAGGCTTGGCCTGGCAGCTGTGTTGCATTTGCTAAAGCGGATGTTTTTAGTTTCAGTTGGGACGGTGCTTTCCACCGGATGTAACTGACTAAGAGGGACTTTCCAAAAAGGGTACAGAGTGTTGTAAACAACAAGATGGCACCAAGGACCACACGAAGAGCCTGCCCACCGCGTGACATCTCATTTGATTGGCCCAGGAGCACATGAACGCCGCGTGAACAGGCATCGGATTGGAGTGCTCTGTGCATGGACTTTAGCCCACTTCCGATTGATTGGATTTTGTATATAAGTCGTACGCCGAGGAAGGAAGCTCTCTCTCTCTCTCTCTCTCTTTTCCTTCCTCCTTCCTTTCCCTCTACCTCGGTCGCTGTTATTTTCTTAATAAAAGTCTGCGGAAGACCGATTAGCTGTGAGTAGCGTCGTTCCTTTGTGAGCAATGGAGCGACAAGTGGTTCCATGACTCGGATCGCTTTAAGACTCGCAGGGACAGGTAAGAAATGAAGGTAAGCGTGCGTACACACGGGAATGCAGGCAGTATAAAAGGAAAGGACAGAGACCGCGGTACCGTCGGTGAAGACGGAAGAAAGAAAATATATAGCCGCCACAGCGGGCTGTAAGAGACCCCTAATAGGCGGGGAGTTGTGAATGAACGCCTGATTCAAGGCGGAAGTTGTCTTTTGCAGTGATGGGTAACACTCCGTCCACTACTAAGTTGCGCTTGCTGCTGAGCTGCTTGTTAAAGACCATGGGGACGCCCGTTAAGGCAGCTACGGTATGCGCATTCACTTGGGCCGTTGCCAAGGCATCACCGAGGTTCGTGGAAAATGGTGAATTAGATGAGCAACAGTGGCGGAGGGTAGGAAGGCAGCTGAGAGCAGCCGGAGAGTCAGTAGAAATTCTTAGGTTGTGGCAGCTCATTGAGCAGGCGCTTCATGACCCCACGGAAAGACTAGGGCTTTTGCTTGATGAGGGGTGCGAGTTCTTAGAAAAGGTTCAGGAGGAGTCTAGTCAGTCCAGCCACTGTGGTAGTCGGCATGACGGGAAACCAACGGACAGAGACCCCCGAAAGGACAAAGCACTTGACGGGAAAGAGGAGAGTCCAGTGAGGGACCATCCCTCACCAAGTGCACCCCCGCACCCAAGAGGGCCATCTCGCTTATGTTCTAGTTTGACTAGATTAGCAAATTTGTCCTTAGAAGACGACCCGCCACCGCAGTATGGTCCAGTGACCTTACCTAAATCAGCCCCTATTAGAGGGAGTTCCTTGGTGCAGCGGCAGCCAGATTCTGATGAGGAAGATGAGGAGGAGGAAACAGCTTGCTCTGGAGGACCTAAGACCCCTAAAAAGGGTAGATGTTATAATGCCCCAGATTGGGATCAGTATCAGAAACCTGACCATGTGTTCCCAGTAATTCAGGACAACAAGGTAATCGGGGTTGGACCCCAATGGACCGTAAATTATTGAAGGAATTACAACAGGCAGTACAGCTGTATGGCCCCCATGCTAATTTTACACAAGCAGTTTTAGAAAATATAGGAACTCAGGGCCTGGTTCCGGATGACTGGAGAAATTTAGCAAAAGCAGTGTTGGGTGGTGGAGACTTCCTCTTGTGGTCTGCTGCTTGGGAACAAGCCAAGCAGAACCACAGGGCCGGGAATGCAGCTTGGAATGAGGACATGCTAAATGGGGAAGGAGCCTTTAACGATACCGATGCCCAAGCAAGAGCTCCTATAGCGGTATTGATGCAAATTAGAGAATTGGCGAGAAGAGCATGGAAAGTTATTCCAAGAAAGGGTGAGATTAGGCACAGTCTAACAAAGATTGTGCAGGGCCCCGCGAAGCCTTATGCAGACTTTGTCAATGGATTAATGGGCAACCCATGGGGGCATTGCAGCCAGGCCTGCCAGTACCAACCATGATCCCCAAGGATTGGCCTTTGATTGTAATTGATCTTAAGGATTGTTTTTTTAGTATACTGTTACATAAAAAGGATACCCAAAGATTTGCATTTACTGTGCCTGCCATAAATCATCAAAGTCCAAATAAAAGGTATGAGTGGAGAGTCCTCCCTCAAGGCATGGCCAATAGTCCCACTTTATGCCAATTATATGTGTCACAAGCAATAGAGCCTGCTCGTCAACAACATGCAGAAGTAAAAATCTTCCATTATATGGACGATCTATTGTTAACATCTGCTAGGGATGATCAATTGGAAGCAGCGTTTACGACATTAAGCTCATGCCTACAGGAGGCAGGATTACAAATAGCACCAGAAAAGGTTCAAAAGGACACAGTAGTTCAGTACCTAGGACTTAGGCTGACACCAACAAATGTGGCCCCTTTGGAATTTACCATTGCAACAACAGGACTAAAAACCTTAAATGATTTTCAAAAACTATGTGGAAATTTAAATTGGATACAACCTTATTGTAAATTGACCACTGAGGAAATGCTTCCACTGTTCAAAATTTTAGAGGGTGATTCACAACTTACTTCACCACGAGAGCTGACTCCAGAGGCAGCTGCAGTTTTACAAAAAGTTGAGACACGTCTTAAGACTACCCAAATGCAAAGATGTGATTCATCAAGGCCTTTAGAGATTTTAGTGTTTGTGGAACACTTGTACCCCTTTGCAGTAATTTGGCAAGGAGGCCCTTTACTGTCTGTTTACCCGCATTCACATTTACCTCGAGTGCTGTACACTCAGGGTTCAGCCGTTGCAGATTTGATACTAACCACAATAAAAAAGACAATAGAGATTTCAGGGAAACATCCTGTACGATGTGTCATACCTTTTTGCAAAGAGGCCGTGGAAGCGTGGACAAGAGAGAATTGTGCGTGGGCATATGTAATTCTAGTATTACAAATAGAGATCAATAATCATTACCCAAATCATCCTTTTGTTACGTTTTGCATGCACATTCCAATCGTGCAGGTACAGAAGGTGCATAAGCATCCAATAGAAGGGGCCCCCACAGTATTTACTTATGGGGCGAAGGGGGGAACTGGAGCCGCAATTATTGGCGATCAGCGATATTTTGTGTTGACTGCGTCCCCCTCTCCCCAGCATGCAGAGCTAGCCATCATTGCAACTGTATTACGAAAAGAAAAAGGTCCCTTAAATGTGTTATCGGATAGTGCTTATGTGGTTAATGTAGTGAAATTGTTGGATGAAGCATGCAGTATTTCCAGATTGTCCACGATATATGCCTACTTAATGGAAATTCAAAAATTGTTAATACAAAGGCATCATCCTATATTTATAGGACATATAAGAGCACATTCGAATTTACTGGGACCACTTAGCCAGGGCAATATGCTAGCTGATCATTACTCGCGCTTTTTGCTTGCCTGCACTGTTATTGATCAGGCCAAAGAGTACCATTCTAAATGGCATGTAAACAGTACCACCTTAAGCATGAAGTATAACATTCCCCGTGGGCGAGCTGAGGATACTATAAAATCTTGTGAGAAGTGTGTAGTTTCCATGGTTCCCAGAATTCCAACAGGCGCCAACCCCCGCGGCCTTAAGCTGTGTCACATTTGGCAGATGGATGTTACTCATATTCCTTCTTTTGGACGGCAAAGTTGTGTTCATGTGACGGTGGACACGTATTCAGGCGTGGTTATGGCCACAGCCCTGGATAAAGAAGGCATGCAACAAGTTATTCAATATTGTTTGCAGTCCTTTGCAGCCTGGGGAGTTCCTTAAGTCATTAAAACTGATAATGGACCAGCCTACACGTCAGCTCGCTTTGCTACCTTTTTAAAGGAATTTGGCATTGTACATCTCACTGGAATACCCTATAATCCTCAAGGCCAGGCCGTTGTGGAACGTTCTCATTTGTATTTAAAGAATTTAATTAATAAACAAAAAGGGGGAATAGGGGAATATGCGGTATCCAATAAAGATGCCTTGGCTTTAGCATTATATACTATAAATTTTTTGAATAAGAAGAAAAATGGCAAAACTCCAGCGGAAATACACACTCAAGTAATGGATAAAGAATCAGTACAATGGATTATGTGGAAAGATTTGCAGGATAATCAGTGGAAAGGCCCGTTCCCTTTATTAAGAAGGGTACGAGGAGCTGTTTGTTTCTTCCCACAGGGAGCTGCACAACCCATTTGGATGCCAGAAAGAAGAGTCCAACTTCTGACGGGAAATTGTGTCGATCAACAACCCCCGGAAGAAACAGTGGACGAGGCCCAAGGCCCAAATATAGCAGAGAGCAAGCGAAGGTTATGAAGCGATTGCTACTTGTGCTTTTGTTAGTTCTGTTTTTGGCTTGTGTTGGTGGCTTATTGGGAGTATTGATTGACTGTTTACTGCTGATAATTGCGATTCATAATAATAGGACCAATCATGCTACTTAGAATTCTTTGCATTATAATATTTAGCAGTGTTGTCATATGTCAGGATCAGGGAGTGTATTGGGGCCTGCTCAGAGCCCTACCCTGGCCCATGCCTTTGTCGAATACCTCTAAATATTTGCCCATAATTTTTGCTGATAATATGTCTGTTTCCATATTTGGAGTTGCCAGCCTAGATAAGCCCCTGTCTGAAACTGGTGTCTTAAATCTTTCTATTGCTTTGGAAGGCTCCTTCTGCTTTGAGATTTTGCCGGGCAGAGACGAGGTGAACTATACCTCCCCGTGCATTACGTTAACTAACCAATCCTCGGGCTGGCTCGACAACCCAAACAAGCATAAGGGCAGTTTTGCTGCCTTTACATCAGGTTCTTTCCCTACGGAATGTTTCTGGTGCTCAGAGGAGTTGCCGGTCATACCCATTAGACAAATACTGCCGGCCTGTAGAGATTGGACCAGTTTGAATCGACCCCGCCTTACTTCCTGCCAAAGTGGCCGCCTACATACCTGGTTGGCACCAGGAGTGGCTATGCCATCCTATGCTAGCTTTGTGGGCCATCGCTGGATTAATTTGACCGAGTTTATGAACATGACCTTCAATCACTCCTGTAGATCCTATGTGGATCTTAATGGTGATAGTGTTAATATTAGTGTTAGTTCTGAAGAACCTTAAAAATCAAACCAAGATGGAGTGACTTAAGCTAACACTATTAAAAACAAGAAGTCACCTTTGCCCCAAATAAAATTAAAGTTTAAAAATTATAGCCCTAAACTTTTTCCCCCAAAGCTAAAATTAGGTGCAGCTATAAAAATAAGGGACCCTATGCTTAGCTAGCTGCGACACTTGTGCCTGGCTGTGCTAAGACCTAACCCAGTTTGTAGCCTCCTAATACTCAAATAACAGTGTGGGAAGCGGGACGCTGCTCTCCCTCCCCGGGAACGAAGGGAGCGAGATGTCATCCCCCTCAGGGTGAACAAGATGACGCTGACAGGGAAAGGAACTGCTAAAGAAGTAAACAACAAAATGGCGATGAGGGGCATGCCTCCCATGTGATCCCGTAGCTGACTGGATAGAAGACGCATGCCTTTCACATGATCAGCTCACGGATTGGACTGCTGTGTGCATGCCTCCCATGTGATCCCGTAGCTCATTGGATAGAAGACGCATGCCTTTCACACGATCAGCTCACGGATTGGACTGCTGTGTCCATGGACACTATAGTGCTTTTGATTGGTTGCTGCAGATATATAAACCGTGTGGCTTTGTGCTGGGGGTGCTCTCTGGACTCCCGAGTTCAGGAAGCCCGTCTGCGCAGACGCTGAATAAATCCTCTTGCTTTTTGCATCAGCTGGTCTGGACTCTGAGTCTTTGGGGTGTGCCTCTCGACGTGTTAGCATCCTCACACAGAGGGTCTAACAGTTCTGCTCCTTTTCCTCCTAATCCTTTTAATTTCCCTTGTCTCTATGCTTCAACCCAGTGTCCTGTGGATCAATCGAACCTTTAAGCCAGTGCCCGAGATGGGTAATGGGTGGGATCCCATAATTGCCTGCAATAGTGTTGGTGCATGCACTGACTTATCCCCACTTATGTTTTTGAAGGGTTGGTTCTGGTCCAGTAGCTCGTGGGCCGAGGATGATGACACTATCACTCTTCACCATACTTATAAATCTGAGACTTATTCGGCTCAGGCATGCGTCGAGCCACCTTTCCTTTGGTATGTTGTGACAAAGTGAATAATACCTGCACTGCCGGGAGCCTTACTCAATGTTGGGATGGTAACTCGGTGGGGGTAATTATGCGCGTCCCCACCTGGATTCCGGTCCCAATTAGGGCAGGGCCTAAAGACTTCGCAGTGATCCTGCAAAGTCATAGAGACTTTCCATCACTGCAGGTTTGGTGGCCGCCATCACAGCGGCCGCGGTGGCGAGTGCAGCTGCAGTCACCTTGGCAGTTACCCAAGTTAGTTCAACAAATCAACAATATTTCGGCGCAGACAGCGGTTGCTTTGCAACAACAGGAGCAACTGGACGAAAGTCTCAAAACGGGGATCTTACTGGTCAACCAAAGAGTAGATGTCCTCCAGGAGGAATTGAATCTGTTAGCATCGGTCATGGGGGCACCCTGTTTGGTTCAATCTGTCTCCGTTTGCATGCTGCCTTTTCCTTATGACCAACATTCTTCACTTGCTAACATGTCCCGCCAATTAGGGCATATGATTAATACCACCTGGAGCAGCAATTTTACGATGTTACTACAACGCTTACGAACTAGCATTTGGGTACTTAACAATACCAGGGCTCCAGTTGAAGTTTGGATTTCCAGCACCTGGTCCACAGTTAAAGAATGGGTCGCCATCAGTTGTTTGTTCATAATGGTACTATTGGGCCTCATCCTCAACGCCAAACAGATTAGAACCTTAGCACTCCGTCAGCAGTGTGCCAACCTGGTAATCCGACAGGCCATGCTAGCCACCTTACGATCTCACCCCAATAAGGAAGTATGGCTTAGCATGATGGAGTGGTAGTCAAAGACGGGTAAGCACCTGCGGGCAACCCTAGCGACCTAAGACAGAGGACAGGACATGCCTCCTGCATCCTCGATGATGGGTAAGCAGAGTATGTGCCATGGGGCACCTAAGACAGGCACGTCTCCATGCCATTTATTATAATAAAGAAGGGGGAGATGTGGGGACCCATGGGTAGGCCTACCACGGGACCTCTGAGTTAAGGCTTGGCCTGGCAGCCGTGTTGCGTTTGCTAAAGCAGATGTTTTTAGTTTCAGTTGGGACGGTGCTTTCCACCGGATGTAACTGACCTGAGAGGGACTTTCCAAAAAGGGTACAGAGTGTTGTAAACAACAAGATGGCGCCGAGGACCACACGAAGAGCCTGCCCACCGCGTGACATCTCATTTGATTGGCCAAGGGGCGCATGAACGCCGCGTGAACAGGCATCGGATCAGAGTGCTCCATGCATGGACTTTAGCCCGCTTCCAATTGGTTGGATTTTGTATATAAGTCGTACACGGAGGAAGGAAGCTCTCTCTCTCTCTTTTCCTTCCTCCTTCCTTTCCCTCTACCTCTGTCGCTGTTATTTTCTTAATAAAAGTCTATGGAAGACCGATTAGCTGCGAGTAGCGTCGTTCCTTTGCGGGCAAGGGAGTGACACACATGAACCTCACAATGCACCTGTTTCTATCCCAAAATTGCACCTGTGAAGTGAAATCCCTGTGTCATCCCCTCTGAGTCATCACTGTCCTTGGGGCTGGCTTCTGAAAAAACCTGAGGAGGGACCCCATTTCCATGACTGTGTTGGGAGGGAAGACGTTCAGGGTTGGGATGACTGTCACTGGGCTCTTTGTGGCATGACATTATGACTTATTTACATGCATTTAAATATGCTAATTGTGGAAGTCTCATTCTCTGTCCTCTACCTGGGGTGTTCTTAGCCCGTCAGTGGTGAGACTGTTGCAGATCCATTGAGGCAGCAAGTGGACAGCTAGCAGTCCATGTCCAGTATACAGTTCAGCTCCTAAAGAATGAGTTCAGGGCCTCCCAGTCCAGCTGGCTTATTTACTGGACAAAGTTACCAATGAATTTAAAAATTAGGTCAAACAAAGCACCAGAGTGGAAGTTCTTAAGCATGAAGGTTTGTTTTTCCAATTATCTAAAACCCAGGACAATCTACCCCAATTTTTACCTCTATTTGCCTGCAGAAATCCACTTGAAGCTCTCCTTTGGCCTGGACAGGCTTCTGTGAACTCTTCATGACCCTTCTATTGTCCTATCATAGTCATATGGGATGGAAGGTAGAGACTGACTTAGAAGCTCTGCAAATAAACCTAAGGCCTCTTTGGTCACTTTGCTGGGAACCTGCTGTGTTCCAGGCAACATGTTCCAATACTGGGGACACAGCTGTGAAATGGTGAAAATCCCTCCAGGACTTTGTGTCTAAGAGCAATACAGGCAATACAAAGAAACATAGTAAGTGGTGATTATATTCTTGGAGTTGATATACACTAGCCATAAAATGCAAAAGCAGAGTAGGATAAGGGAATCAAGAACAGGAGGATTTGCAGTTTTAGGCAAAGCCCCCTGGTCTTGGACCTGTCTGGGATGGGAGCTCTCTTTCTCACTCTGTCTTCCAAGAAAAACTGTATGGGAGGCAGAGAGACAGAGATAGAGATTAATGCAGAGATTTTCAATCTGCTGATTCACTGCCCAAATACCCACAAGAACTTGGATTGAGATAGGCCAAACCCAGGAGCCAGGAACTTAGTCCAGGTCTCCCTCATGTGGCAGGGACCCAGGTACTTGACTCATCACCCACTGCCTGCCAGGGTATGCAATGGTAGGAATCTGCATTGGAAACAGAGCAGGAACTCCAGGATGGGATATGAGCATCCAAAGTAGTGACTTAACTGCTATACCAAACACCAACCCTTCAAATAAAGACAATTTTTTACAAATTAAAATCAGTCTATTAAAGAGAGAAGGCATAGGTATTAGCAATAGGATATGACAACACAACAACATTTCTCAAAGAGTAGGAATATGAGATATATAAACAGTTGTTGAAATAAAAACATGCGCCAGTGCCATGGCTCACTTGGTTAATCCACCGCCTGTGGCTCCAGCATCCCATATTGGTGGTGGGTTCTAGTCCTAGTTGCTCCTCTTCCAGTCCAGCTCTCTGCTGTGGCCCAGGAGTGCAGTGGAGGGTGGCCCAAGTCCTTGGACCCTGAACCCACATGGGAGACCAGGAGGAAGCACCTGGCTCCTGGCTTTGGATCGGCACAGCACGCTGGCCGTAGCAGCCATTTGGGGGGTGAACCAATGGAAGGAAGACCTTTCTCTCTCTCTCTCTCACTGTCTAACTCTGCCTGTCCAAAAAAAAAAAAAACACAACAGAGGAAATAAAAAGCAAGACAAATATAGTTGAGGAAGAAATTGGCAAAGTGGAAGATAGTAGAAATGTACACACAAAGGAAATTAGAAAACAATTAAGAAAAGCTAAGAGAAGGAGCAAAAACAGACATGCTAGCATGTGAATAGGACTCCTAAAATGATGAACTTATAAAATGAAAAGAAGAAAATAGTTTAATTTGCAAATACAGAACGCCTTATAAAATACTGCCCATCAAACAGCGCAAACCTGGAAACAAATTAACATCCACCAGCAGGTGAGATAACTGTGACTCAGCCATACAGAATTAAAAAGGAATACACCACACGCTTCACATGGCCGGGCCTCAAAAAAGAATTGGTGAGGGGCTGGTGTCGAGGTGTAACGGGTAAAGCCACCACCTGTGATGCCGGCATCCCATATGGGTGCCAGCTCAAGTCGTGGCTGCTCCACTTTCAATCCAGCTCCCTACTGATGCACCAGGAAAAGCAACGGAGGATGGCACAAATGTCTGGGCTGCTACATTCCTAGTCCGAGCCATTTTAGCCACTTGGGGAGCACACTAGTGGATGGAAGATCTACCTCTCTGTCTCCCCCTCTCTCTGTAATTCTTTTGGATTAAGAAAATATTTTTTTTTAAATGGTGAAAGAACCTAGACACAAAAGAAGGTAGTGTGTGAATAGACTACTACTTAATTCTACACTTACTGGAACTTTGAAAACAAAACTTCTAACATTAGAGAAAGAAACAGAAAATGGTTTCTTAGAGTTTGTGGGTGGGTGAGGATTAATCATGGAGACATGAAGGAGCTCTTGAAAAGGTGGCAGTGTTCTCTGTTTTGATTATAATGGTGGTAACAAGGGTATAAACGTTCTTCCAAAAATCCTCAAACTGTAGCCTTTAGCTCATTTGGGGATAACATGTGGTGCGGCCAGATAAGCTACTGCTTGCAATACTGGTATCCCATATTGGTGTGCTGGTTCAAGTCCTGGCTGCCCTACTTCCAATCCAGCTCCCTGCTGATGCACCTGGGAAGGCCATGAAAAAATGGCCCAACTACTTGGGCCTCTGCCACCCATGTGGGAGATCAAGATGCACTTCCTGCCTCCTGGTTTTGGCCTGGGCCAGACCTGGCTCTTGCAGCCATTGGGGAGTGAACCAGAGGATGGAAGAGCTCTCTTTCTCTCCCTCTGCTCTACCAGACAAATAAATCAAATACATCTTAAAAAAAAAAAAAGCCTCATCAGTGGCATTTAAAGTCTGGATGAGATCACCAAGAGAATACAAAAGAAATGGGAACCTTGACATTAAGATGTAAGAGAAGTGAGGAAGCGGCCAAGGGGCCTGAAAGGAAACCAGAGGAAAACTGAAAGCCAAGTGAAGAAGCTGTTTCAAGGCAGAAATGATCCACTATCTACAACACTGCTGATAATGTCAAGAAGGAAACTAAGAATTGGCCACTGGATGAACAATGTCATCATCTGACCAGAAGATGGGCTTGGAGCAGCTTAAGAAAGTAGAGCCAGTAGGCACACACAACTCAAGATTTACTTTCTAAAGTGCAAAGAAATGACACAGGAGCTAGAAAATGTAGCTATCAAAAGGTTTATTTTGTTGTAGAAATACATTTCCATATTAATGGAAATACTCCCAAATAGAAAAATTGATGTAAAGTGTATTCAAAAAGTTCATGGAAAATGTGTATTATGAAATAATTATGTCCGGATTTCAAATTCTTTTAGCACCAAAAGAAACATATTTTATATGTACTTCACTGTGCAGTTCTTGAGGTCCTTCGTATATGAGATAAGGGACTTACTGGAGCAGTGCACTGTTCACAGACAGGCACCAAGGGGAAGACAAAGACTGTGAGGCGTAAATAGAAGGGGGATGGATTGGAGGCATCTGCTGATTGCTTCTGTTTTCTCAGGAGGAAAATCATCTGCTGGGGCTGAATATGCGGGAAGGGTCAGTCAAGAGATTGTTGGAATCTGGGTACCAAACAGCCAACTAGCTCAGGAAGAGATACTTGAAACAGATGGTGAAGGGATTTGTCACTCATGTAATTATCCCAGGGACAACAGGATGACTGGCTATGGGAGAGTGGCAGACAAAACTACCAGCAGAGAGGTTAAAGAACCTTGAGATCCAAATTCCAGAAGATGATCTGCAGACACTGGAATCAGGAAATATGGTGGGGGATGGTCTTAAATACCATAAGGCAGGAGCGGAAATCTCTTAAGATATGCAGATGAGTGACCCATCAATAGAAGACTGCAGCTAGGAAAAGCAGTGAGTGATCACCTGGTGTCTTCTGAGTTAGAGCCTAGTTTTACAGAGGGGAAAGAGAAGACTGGAAACCGTGAGAGTGGGAGAGAAGTAGTCACCCTTGAGAGACAATGTACATAGGGGACACGCACCAACAGGGTGAAGGGAAGCTTCTGATGATGGTGTAACAGGGCCCAGCAGATGCCTTCAGTTAGGGAAGAGCGGAAGATGGGATCAAAACCCAGGGGTGGTGTTGTGAAGGAACAGGTTAAGCTGCCACTTGGGATGCCTACATCCCTCATCAAGAGTGCCTGGGAGGCTGGCGCCGCGGCTCAATAAGCTAATCCTCCACCTAGCGGCGCCGGCACACTGGGTTCTAGTCCTGGTCGGGGTGCCAGATTCTGTCCCGGTTGCCCCTCTTCCAGGCCAGCTCTCTGCTGTGGCCAGGGAGTGCAGTGGAGGATGGCCCAAGTCCTTGGGCCCTGCACCCCAAGGGAGATCAGGAGAAGCACCTGGCTCCTGCCATTGGATCAGTGTGGTGCGCTGGCTGCAGTGCGCCAGCCGTGGCAGCCATCGGAGGGTGAACCAATGGCAAAAGGAAGACCTTTCTCTCTGTCTCTCTCACTGTCCACTCTGTCAAAAAAAATAAAAATTAAAAAAAAGAGTGCCTGGGATCAAGTCCTTGTTTCTCTTCCTATCCAGCTTCCGGCTAAGGTGACTGGAAGGCAGCAAAGGGCCCAAGCACTTGGGTTCCAGCCACACTGCAAATGTTCTGATGTGGGTGTTCCTGATTCATGGCCTTAGCCTGGTCCAGTCCCAGCTGTTGCAGGCATTTAGGGAGCGAATCAATGGATGGAAGATCTCTCTATCACTTTGCCTTTCAAATAAATAAAAACTTAGAAACAAAAAGGAAACTGAACCATACACAGGTTAGAATTAGGCAGACTAAGGGCACCTGGGAATCCTGGACATAATGGAACACTGAGATTAGTCTTGATGTTTATTGTTACATAAGGCTGTATGTGATAGGAGGTAGGGAATCCTTCAGAAAGAAAAAATGGTCTGGAACTTTCACTAAACATGTGAGTTAAGCCACAGGAGTTCCTTTTAGAGAATTAAAATATATATATATATATATATATATATATATATATATATATATATAGAGAGAGAGAGAGAGAGAGAGAGAGAGAGAGAGAGAGAGAGAGAGAATGTGTGTGTGTGTGTGTGTGTTATGGACATATAAAGTTTGGGGGTGGGTGACTGGCCTAGCTTAGAAGCTCACTGTGGCTTGGAATGCCTCCATTCCATAGTGCAGTACCTCGTTTCAAGTCTTGGTTCTGCTCTTGACTCTAGTTTCCTGCTTCTGCAAACACTGGAAAGTAGCAGATGATGGCTCAAATCTTCATCATGGTCATCCACATGAGAGACCCAGATTAAGTCCAGGTTGCTGTCTGTGGCCTGGCCTGGCCCTGGCAGTTGTCAACATTTGGTGAGTGAACCAGTAGATGGGAGCTCTGCCTCTTTCAAATAAATAAGTAACCAAAAAGTTTTAATAAGCTTGGTAATAAGAAGTTGCCAGGATGCTGTGGAATATTGCATACGAACTATCAAATCTGTTGGAGTCTCTAAAACTGAGAATATAGATTCACTATAGATATTAGATAATAATATTCCTATTATGTTAGCAGTATGATTCCAGATATATCATGCTTTTTCTTACAAATATATATGATTTTTTGTATACTAAGAAGCCAAGAGCTTTATTGATGTAGCAGTCACTTTACGACAAACCCAAGAGCCCGCCTTCTCTGGGAGGATGAGGTATCTGTACAAACTCTTGGGTTTTATCCACTTTAAAACAAGCTATCTCCAAACCATCCCTCCCTCACTCTAAACAGGCAGTGCACAGGTACACCTGACCAGTGCTGGCCAGCCCCTCTCATAGAGATCATATTAACTCTATTCTCTCCACTAATCCCATGAGAAACCCAGAAAAACATTAATTCACTCCTGCAACATCTATTGGGTGACCACTAATACATTCAGCTCTGAAGTTATGAATCAAGTGTTACATAGCTCAGTGAGTTCAAGCTACAGTAGCCAGACAGTAAACATCAGTCTCCCCATGGCTCCAGTATGCAACCATTTCTCAACCACTGGTGAGTCATAGATCTTGAGAAATTAGATGAGCCTTATATTCATCCAATATCCTGAAGGCTATCCAGGAAGAATCCTTGCCCCCTAAATACAGCCCTGCTTTAGGAATATTTTGTGAACCAGAGAGAAGCCACCCAAGTTCTCTGTGGCTTCACTCCTCTCTTGTGAATACTCAGAGAGACTTCCTAACTCTAGGGGATGGACTAGTGATGGACTCCATTTCCTTCTGAATCCTTCTTCCTATCAAATAATCTGTCTACCTGGTGAAAATAATTATAAACACTGAATTCAAGGGAGACTTTCAGAAAGGGTACTCTCACACATAGCAGTGTCTGTGTAAAAGAATACACAGCCTTGCCCATGGCTTCATGGAGAAGCATTCTAAACCTGTCAAGTGGTATTCTTCAGGTTTGCCAAAATCTCCAGTAATTGTCCTGGCCCTGATGCCCTATAATTCTAAGTTGTGGGCAATGAAATTCCAGGAAACCAGGACCCAATGTCCAATTCAGGCTTTTTCATATTCCACTGGAATCTCAGCTCTTATGTTTCCAGAAATCCTTCATCAGACAGGAACCAGGTAACTTTATTTCTCAGTGCTTAGGATTTTCTTGATTTTTATTACCAAATGTCTACTATAGGAACACTAAACAAAAGGGGAAAACACATTAAGGGAAAATATCACTGGACAAGAAGCATAACACAGCAGTTTTAAAAAATTAACTCTGGAGTCAAACGATCATAGCTCCATTCCTCACTAGCTGTATCCCTGGTTTCCCCCTTTGTAAAATTGGGACAATAACAGTACCTATCTCATTGAGTTAAGGCTAATATTTGAAAGCATTTAAAACAAAGCCTAACACATGATAAACACTATATGTATTTGTAAAACTTCAGAAAAAAATCTTAACTTGGTTAATTTCTTCATGGATCTTTCAGATCTTCATACACATACATTTTTATAGCAGATATGCTTTTTACAATTCTGCATCCTTTTTACACCTTCATGTTATGTATATTGAAGCAGTGTCCATAATTATAATTTATAGTGATTGCCTAAAACAAATTACAAACTAATTAACCAATGATGCAGTAATGCATAAATAATGGGCACTGACACACTGGGTTATTAAGTATCATCTGTTGTTCCAACAAAATCAGTCTCATGTGCCTATGTAACAACTTTTCCACCATTGGTGATCTCAGTTACTTACTAATCTTTTCTAAAGGAGGTTAATCTTGATCAACAGTAAATACCCCATTCCATACTATACTACATTTTTTCTTAAATTCAAACTTAGTATCCCATATCCTACTCTGTAAAGGGCACTCAGACCCTTACTTTATAATAGCAAAATCTGTATTTCTATCATTATGCACAAAATGTTATTGTAAAGCTTTCCACCCTATACTCCAGCTTAACAAAAAAAAAGTCTATTTCTAGTTAAAACACTATTCTCAGCATGTTTTTCCCTTAACAATACACACTGATCTACAAATAGGTGAAAGCTCTTGCTAAAACATGCCTTTTTTGCCAGTCATGTGCCTCAACTATAGATTCCTGGTAGGCCATAGGGGAGTTTAGAATTTTGGTCATCATTATTTTATGTTGAGTAAGGACCACATACCTGCCGAAAGCTTTTCCCTAATCTTTTCACTCATAAGGTTTCTTCTAAGATATTTTCTACTGAGTAACAAGGGGACAAGTCTTACTAAAAACTCTTAATGAAAAATTTCTCTTCTTCACTATATTTATGAGGGTTTTTTTTTCCCAATGTGTTAATCAAATGTACAATAAAGAAAAACCTTTCCTCAATTCAATTCAGTTTTTCTTCATTGTGATTTCTCTGGTGTTGAAGCAGGGCTGAGTGACCACTAAAGGCTTTTCCACATTCATTGCATATAAAGCGTTTCTCGCCACTATGCATTCTCTGATGAATAATGAGGGAAGAATTCTTACAGAAAGCTTTCTCACAATGGTTGCATTTGTAGGGTTTTTCTCCAGTATGGTTTCTCAGGTGCACGATAAGGGAAGAACTCTCATTAAATGCTTTCCCACATTCATTACACCTGTATGGTTTCTCTCCAGTATGAGTTCTCCGGTGTGCAATAAGATGAGAGCTACAGTTAAAGGATCTTTCACATTGATTACATTTATAGGGTTTCTCACCAGTGTGAATTCTCCGATGAGCAACAAGGTGGCAGCTCTGACTGAAAGACTTCCCACATTTATTGCATTCATAAGGCTTTTCTCCAGTATGAGTTCTTTGATGCCTGACAAGGTGAGCCATCTGGCTGCAAGATTTTCCACATTTATTACATTCATAGGGCTTAATTCCAGAATGAATGATTTCATGTTTAGTAAGGGCTGAGCGTTCTCTAAATGCTTTGCCACATTCCTGACAGTTATAGGGTTTTTCTCCTGTGTGAGTTCTCTGATGGGCAATAAGATGGGAGCTCCAGCTGAATGATTTGCCACATTCAGTACATTTATATGGTTTTGCTCCAGAGTGAGTTCTTTCATGTTTACTAAGGGCCGAGTAATCCCTAAAAGCTTTTTCACACTCATCACATTTGAAGGGCTTCTCTCCAGTATGCATTCTCATATGGGCAATGAGATGAGAGCTCCAGCTGAAAGATTTCCCACATTCAGTACACTCAAAAGGTTTCTCTCCAGTATGAGTTCTCTGATGTCCAATAAGATGAGAATTCCAATTGAAAGATTTCCCACATTCATTACATACATAAGGTTTTTCTCCTGTATGAATTCTCTTGTGTACAATAAGATGAGAATTCCAGCTGAAGGCTTTTCCACATTTATTACATTCATAAGGTTTTATTCCAGTGTGAGTCCGTTCATGTTTAGTCAGGGCTGAACGATTCCTAAAAACCTTTCCACATTTATCACATTCATAGGGTTTCTCTCCAGTATGAGTTTTCTTATGTTGAATAAGGTATGAGCTCCAGATGAAAGATGTCCCACATTCATTATATTCATAGGGTTTCTCAGAACTATACGTGCTTGTATGTTGAGTAAGGAATGAGTCATACCCAAAGACTTTTTCCCATTCATTGTATGCATATGCTTTCTCTATAGTACCAATTTTTTGATGTTCCATGAAGGATGAGAAGTAAAAGATATTCTCATATGCTTTGTAATCATACTGGTTTTCTCCAACATGAAATCTTGGATGTTCACTAAATGGTGGGCTCTGGTTAAAAATTTGATGGCATTCCTTATATTGATAAAGTTTCTCTCCTGTGTGCATCCCTTTATGATCACCAAAATGTATTACATGATTGAAAGATTTAACAGCATCAGTACATTTGAAAAGATTATCTGCAGCTTGCATTCCTGTAGTGTGAACAGGTTGAATGGACTGGCAGAAGGCTTTGTCATAATTATTTTCACAGGTAACCTTATCTGCATACAGTACGGCTGAGTTACATTTCCAGCTTTCAGCACGTGTTTCAGGCTTATAGAAATGTTCTACATGGGAAACTCTCTGTGAAGGACCAAAGTTTAAGTTCTGGCTGTACTCTGTCCCAAGTTCACAGAAATCAGAGCCTCTTTGAGATAGCACTTGCTTTTGCATGAAGAACATTTGCCTCATAGCCGTACTCTGGTTCATTTGGTACATTTCTAATTGGTCTTTACAGCCTAAAACTTCTACCCTGGAGAACCAAGGATCATCCCATATGTATTTTTCCAACCTCATGTCATGGGGTTTTTCCTCCTCAAATATGCTTTGTATTGGGACCAATGCTTTGCTTTCAAGATTTTTCTTCCATTCTGAAATACAGAAAAAAGCAATGAAAACATAGAGGAAAGATGTTTCAGAACAGAGTGGGAATAGTGAGATTTACTGTCCATATTGTTTAAAAGGCAGATGTATATTTGTTTTCAAGAACCTAATCAGAGTATAAAGTGAAGAAGAGTTAATAATTGTGTACTGAAAGCTAATAAAATCACTTAAGAGTAGTTTCCTATGACAAGGTCACAAAATGGGTACGCAGAAAGGAGTTAGCTCTATAGGACTGAGTTGTTTAAACTTTGCACATAACTAAGAAAGCCTGTTTCATAACTGGCCCTTGGCCAATTCCTGGGAATTTAGATACTGGCATTTCTACTTTTGAATGTACTGCATGCTCAAGGCCTTGAAGCTCTGTACAAATTATTTCTCCAGATAATTTGTGCATTGTGTAATGCATTTACAGTGAGCATCTGCTTTTTCTCTGGAGGTTAGAATTTCAGTGATTGAGTTCAATCTCACAGACACTGTGTGTCTACTTGATCAACCATCAATAAACAGCCTGGATTCTGCAGCTCAGGCAAGTTTCCTAATAAAAAATGCTTCACGTATGTTGTCCCAACTCTGCTGGGGAAAGTTAATGTGCCTATGCAACTCAACTGGGAACAACTCCCAGAAGCTTACACCCAGTTTCCTCGGGACTTAGCCCCATCCATCTTTACCTTTTGCTGGTGCTGATTTGTATCCTTTCACTATAATAAACCATAACTCCAAGTATAATGACTTTTCGGTCCTAGTGAGTTCTTCTACTGAAACTAGGGGTGGTCTTAGGAAACCACTGATAAAAATGAAAAGAATAAAATAAAATAAAATGACCAGCTGAGAAAATGTAGAATGACCATGCAGACCCTTAGTAAGGAATGTGTAAATTATTGGCATCATAATTGACTTCTATGTTATACTGTCCTTCTTGCTCCCCTATCTTGACACCTGCCAAAGAAAGCAGCGAGTAGAGTTAGGAAAAAGTAAGGTTTCTTGAAACCTTGTGAGGTTTCAAGCCAGGATGTTATCTATGATAAATGCTATCACATTTACTATTCCATAGAGTCTAGCCAATGAGAAAGATTCACCAAACCAAAAGGCAAACATCATCATGGTTTAAGGATACCCCTAAAGTGACATTTCTTCTAGCCACTTAAGAATCATTTGTGGAGCAATGATACAAGAGAGGGATTAGAATGAAACATAGGGGGCCGGCGCCGCGGCTCACTAGGCTAATCCTCCGCCTTGCAGCGCCGGCACACCGGGTTCTAGTCCTGGTCGGGGCGCTGGATTCTGTCCCGGTTGCCCCTCTTCCAGGCCAGTTCTCTGCTGTGGCCAGGGAGTGCAGTGGAGGATGGTCCAAGTGCTTGGGCCCTGCACCCCATGGGAGACCAGGAGAAGCACCTGGCTCCTGCCATCAGAACAGTGCGGTGCACCAGCCGCAGTGCGCTGGCCGCGACGGCCATTGGAGGGTGAACCAAAGGCAAGGGAAGACTTTTCTCTCTGTCTCTCTCTCACTGTCCACTCTGCCTGTCAAAAAAAAAAAAGAATGAAACATAGGATGAAACAGGACAGTGATAGCCTGATAATCTATATATATTATTTGAGAAAGAGAGAGCACTCCCATCCACTGATTCACTCCCCAAAGGCCCACAACAGCTGGGGGTGGAGGATGGCAATGCTGGGAATCAAGAACTCAATTCACATCTCCCAGGTGGCTGGTAGCAACCCAACTTGAGCCATCACCACTGCCTGCTTGTGTTCACACCAGCAAGAAATTGGCATCAGGAGCCAGAGCTGGGCATCAAGCCAAGAACCCCAACATGAGATGTGGGCGGGCATCCTTAACAGCATCATGGCCACTGGGCCAAACAACTGCCTTCAATATCTACATTTAATTACTGGCTCTGTCACCATCTTTTGTGGACTTTTCTGATGATTAAATGGATCTGTGAATATAGAAAAAATTCCTGGTAAATTGAACAGATGGGAGCCACCTGTCATCATCGTCAAGGTACGTCCTGCAACAACAGAGTCTATATTAGTTTCCTACTTCTATATTAGTTTCCTACTGATGTTGTAACAAACTGTCACAAATTTATTGGCTTAAAATAATACAAATGTGTTGTGTTTTAGTTCCATAAGTTAGAAGTCCAAAACAGATTTCACTGTGCTAAAACAGAGCTGCTACCACAGTGGAGCATCCTCCTGAATCTTCTGTATCTGCCTGTGCCTGCCTTTCTAGGCTTACAGCTCCTTCCTCCATCTACAAATCACATCACTTCAACCTCTGTCATCATATCTCCTCCCTCTGCCTGACTCTCCTTCCTCACCCTATGATCACATTTTGAACCCACCCAGATAACCCAGGATAATCTCCCCATCTAAAGGTCCTTTATTGGCTGGCGCCATGGCTCGCTAGGCTAATCCTCCACCTGTGGCGCCGGTACTCCAGGTTCTAGTCCCGGTTGGGGTGCCGGATTCTGTCCCGGTTGCTCCTCTTCCAGTCCAGCTCTCTGCTGTGGCCTGGGAGTGCAGTGGAGGATGGCCCAAGTGCTTGGGCCCTGCACCCGCATGGAAGACCAGGAGGAAGCACCTGGCTCCTGGCTTCGGATCAGTGCAGCGTGCCGGCCGTGGCAGTCATTTTGGGGGTGAACCAACGGAAGGAAGACCTTTCTCTCTGTCTCTCTCTGTCTCACTAACTCTGCCTGTCAAAAAAAAAAAAAAAAAAGCTAACTATAAAAGAATCCGGTGATGAAGGACAATCAATCAGCATGAACAATACACATGAAATACCACTAAGACATGTGGGGTATGGACGCTAAGGGGGTGGGAGATAAGAAAGAGGAGACCAGCACTGACACAAAGAAGCAACTGCAGATGGTTCACACAGGACAAACATAAGCTGAGGCTTCTAGCACAGCTTAGATGTAGGACCGACTGCTGCCTCAGAATGAGCATGACACCCATGATTCCACTGCCTGTAAGAAGGACAGGAAGGGTTCCAGCTGAGTAAACCACAGGAGCTGTTCAAGAAATGATCAAAATAAAGAAAAAATGAGAAGGTCTTAACTCTGGTTGTTTCCTTAAACAACAACTGGATTCACTGTAAATTTACTGACAAGGACCTCATAATGAAAGATTTCAGGAGATAAATCAAAAAAAACCTGAGGTGGCTAATAAGAAACAAAAATTACTAAAAAGAACAACATAAAAGAAGTAATAATTTTCTCATCAACTTAACTGGATTCTTATGAGGAAGGGGCCAGCTTGACTTAGGGTGAAACTGATGGAAGCTGAATGACACTACCAAAATTCCAGAGTAACAATACTAGGAGTCAGAAGAGGGATTATTGAGGGCCAGCATTGTGGCACAGCAGGTTAAGCTGCTGCCTGTGATGCTGGCATTGCATATGTGTACCAGTTGCAGTCCCAGCTGCTCCACTTACAATCCAGCTTCCTGCTAATGTCCCGGAGAAAGCAGAGGAAGACGGTCCAAGTCTTTGGGCCCCAGCACTCACATGGGAGATGCAGATGGAGTTCCAGGCTCCTGGCTTCAGCCCCGACCATTGTGGCCATTTGGGGAGTGATATGGACCAGTGACTGGAAGACCTACCACCCCCTCTCTCCTTTCCTCCCTCCCTCCAACTTTGCCTTTCAAATAAATAAATAAATCTTTAAAAATAAATAGGAGAGAGATTACTTCTTGGAGAGAAGAAAGGGTCAAGAGGACTTCTCAGTCTCCAGCTTAGGTTCTTGCAGAAGGCTAGCATAAAAGACACACAGCAGGAAGAGGAGATAAGTTTCCTTATTCTGTCTACTGAGATCAGGAAGCAGCTGACATGCTCTGTAAAATGGTAGCTATGCAAGGATGGAGGGCCCAGGAGAGTAACTGAGAATGGTCAGCACTGAGCGTAAGAGAAGGAAAGCTGGTGGGACTCATAGGCCCTCGGAGGATCCACAGGCCCTCAGAGGATCCACAGGCCCTCGGAGGACTCAAAGGCCCTCGGAGGATCCACAGGCCCTCGGAGGACTCACAGGCCCTTAGAGGATCCACAGGCCCTCAGAGGATCCACAGGCCCTCAGAGGATCCACAGGCCCTCAGAGGACTCGAAGACCTTCGGAGGACTCACAGGCCCTCGGAGGATCCACAGGCCCTCGGAGGATCCACAGGCCCTCAGAGGACTCACAGGCCCTCAGAGGGATCCACAGGCCCTCAGAGGATCCACAGGCCCTCGGAGGATCCACAGGCCCTCAGAGGATCCACAGGCCCTCAGAGGACTCGAAGACCTTCGGAGGACTCACAGGCCCTCGGAGGATCCACAGGCCCTCAGAGGACTCACAGGCCCTCGGAGGATCCACAGGCCCTCAGAGGACTCACAGGCCCTCGGAGGACTCACAGGCCCTCGGAGGATCCACAGGCCCTCAGAGGGATCCACAGGCCCTCGGAGGACTCACAGGCCCTTAGAGGATCCACAGGCCCTCAGAGGATCCACAGGCCCTCAGAGGACTCACAGGCCCTTAGAGGATCCACAGGCCCTCAGAGGATCCACAGGCCCTCAGAGGACTCACAGGCGCTCGGAGGATCCACAGGCCCTCGGAGGATCCACAGGCCCTTGGAGGACTCACAGGCCCTCAGAGGATCCACAGGCCCTCAGAGGACTCACAGCCCTTAGAGGAACACGTCAGATCTAGATAGGGGGCAACTGCTGAGCTTATCCAGAAAAGCCACTGCACTAGAGTAGGAGAAGAAATGTCCAATCTTTGGACTCAAGAGGAGGCTGTGGTACACTGTTCAAAAACAACGGGGTAGTGTCGAGGTACAGAGAGTTAAGCCACGGCTTGGGACACCCACATCCCAGACTGCAGTGTCTGGTTTGAGTCCTGACAACTCCATGCTTCTGATCGAGCTTTCTGCTAATGCACATGGATGGCATCCAGTGTTGGCCCACCCACCCATGTGTGACACTCAGATGCAGTTCCTAGCTCCTGGCTTCAGCCTGGCGTAGCCCCAACTGTTGTGGGTATTTGGAGGAGTAAACCAGAGGATGGAAGATATCTCCTCCACCCACTCCCAACCTCGTGTGTCTGTGTGTTGGGGTGGCAGTTTTCCTATCTCTTTGTCACTTTGCCTTTCAAACAAATAAATCTTACACAACACCAAGATGGGGTGTGGGTTTAGCTTAACAGCTGGGACGTCCCTGTCTTGTACTGGGACAACAGCATTTGATGCATGCCTCTAGCTTTTGACTAGATTCCTGATAGTGCCAACTCTGGGAACCAGCAGTGATGGTTCAGGTAATAGAGTTCCTGCCACCCACGTGGGACACCTGGATTGGGTTCATGACTCCCAGCTTCTGCCTGTCCCAGACCCAACTACTGTAGGTATTTGAGGGGTGAACTGGCAAGTGGAAGTGTTCTCCTTTGTTCGCTCACTTGCACATGTGCATTCCCCCCATGTTCCCTTTCAAATAATGTTTTTTAAAAAATTTTGATACAGTGTGTACAGTATTCTGCTGCAAAAATGCAGCAGAATTCCTATAGGACTATAGTTGTATAAAATAGAAATTACTAAAAATGATTATCAGTGAAAATGGCAAAGTAAGAACTTTAATAATTTCTCCTCTCTGTAAAAACAACTAATAAGCTGAGGAAAACTGTCAGAATAAATCATCCAAAGCCTTGCAGCAACCAGGAAGCATTTACCAAGAGAAGTGACTGAATTTCATTAAGAAGAGTGAGTTCTGTGACCTTTAGAAACTTACCAATATTCCATCCTTGGCTTTTCTCTGTTTTGCCTGATTTGACTAGTGCTAAAATCTGTTAAGAAATACTTGTCAAACATTTATAAGCAATGTTTTTAAGTCACTATCACCCGAGGCAATGGCAGAGAGCTAGGGTTAACAAAATGCTAACCAAAAAGATGAAAAGCAGCAGCTTAGGATAAGGGCTTTTAAAATCTCCAACTTAGAAGACCACAGGCACACACATCACAATTAAACTGGCCAAAGCCAAAGCGAATCCTGAAAGCAGCAGAAGAGAAGCAACTCGTAATATCTGACAAGGGATCTTCAGAAAGATTCCTCCTAAGAACAATGGATGTCAGAAGGGAAGAAACTGTCAACCAAGAATTCCACATCCAACAAAATTATCCTTCAAAAATGAAGGCTGAATCAAGAGACTCACTAGCAAATCTGTCCTATTTCATGTTAAGAAGAGTCCCTTAGGCTGCAATGAAAGAACACTAAACAGTAACTCAAAATACAGAACATCCTCCTCACCCCCACCAGACATCTCAGAAGTATCCTGAGAGTCAGTGACACCTAACTTGTAAATGTGGCAACAACAACAAGGCTTATACACAAAACAAGATGTTAAAACGGGGCAACACTGATTTATGTACCATTTCTGAGAATTATCAACTTCAGTGGTGGGAGTGGGGAGACAGACTAGCCACAGTGCTTCTTCCACAGCCCTGATCACGTGTCCTCTGCCCAGTGACAACTGCCACCATTCGGTTTTAGCCCTGTAAAACCAGCCCCTGATGCTTGAAAAGGCTTTCACCAATCCTGGGAAATAAAACCTAACAAAGGATCTCCCGCATGCATAAAAAGGGAGGGCGGAGGTTCCTAAGTGGTTCCCAGGAAGACTGTGACCTTCTGAGCTCTCAGCGGGGAGGGACTGTGCACTGGGCTACATATGCTGTGTTCCTGCCATCCTGGGTATGCCTACTCACCAGTTACCCTTCCTTGTTGAATAAAGCCTCATTTTTTGCTGACTTCTTGTGTCAGGGTCCACCCTTTGGTGGGTAAGGTGGTCTCTGCTGGGCTTACTGCCTGCAGCTACTAATTCCAGCCTCCTTCTAATGTGGACCCCCAGATTCATTTCCTAGCTCCTGGTTTCCATCTGGCCCAGTCCTGGCTATTACAGGCACTTGGGGAGTAAACCAGCAGATGGGAGACCTCTGTCTCTCTCCCTCTGCCTTTCAAATAAAAAATAAATTAAAAAAATTAAAATAAGACAGCTATATAAGACAGCAATTATAATTCTCTGTTGATGGACACACACATAAAAATGCAATTTGTGACAATAACAGATACAAAAGGGTAGGACAGAACTATAAAGAAGCAGTTTTGTATACTATCAAAACTAAATTGATACTGTGGCGCAGTGAGTTAAGCTGCTGCCTGTAATGCGTGTATCTGTGATGCCCATTCAAGTCTGTGATGCTCCACTGGTGACCCAGCTCCCTGCTAGTGTGCCTGGAAAAGCAGTGGAAGACGGCCCAAGTGCTTGGGGCCCTGTTGTTTAAGATTTTAGGGTTTGAAGAAGATGAGGAGGCAGCCATTAAAAGCAGGAAAGACTTTTACTGAGGATGGAACAGCATGGAAGAGGGTAAGTGAGGCTCCTGCTCAGACAGTGAGTAGGGGTCTGAGAAGAGATTCAGCCCTCCAGGCAGTGGGCCACAGCCTACTTATGCTATCTGTTGGGAGGGGGCCATCCAGAAATGAGAGACCCATGCCCACTGTGATGAGGTGGGTCTGAGTGGGCAGAAGAGCCCTGATTTACAATGTATGAATTCGTCAGTTTGGTATGTCCAGGGCAAGTGGGCAGCTTTAAGAGCCAGAGCTGCAGAACTGCAGTCCATAAAATACTATCCTGACACCCTCAGGGTCATTCATTTAAAAAAAAAAAAAAAAAAAAAAAGATTTATTTGAAAGGCAGATTTAGAGAGAGAGAAAGAGAAATCTTCCTAGATACTTTAAAAAAACTAAATTGGTACTAATCCAAACAAGATCACTGTAAGATGTTAACCGCAATCTCCAGGACAACAACTAAAAATATACGTATAATTGGGGCTGGCGCTATGGCACAGTGGGTAAAGCCACCACCTGCAGTGCCAGCATCCCATATGGGCAGCAGTTCAAGTCCCAGCTGCTCCTCTCCCAATCCAGCTCTCTGCTATGGCCCGAGTCCTTGGGCCCCTGCACCCACCTGGAAGTCCCAGAAGAAGCTCCTGGCTCCTGGCTTCAGCCTGGCTCAGCTTCGGCCATTGCAGCCATTTGGGGAGTGAACCAGCAGATGGAAGACTTCCCTCTCTCCCTCTACCTCTCTGTAACTTTGCCTTTCAAATAAATTAATACATTTTTTTAAAAAATAAATAAATCTTAAAAGGAAAGTGATTTCCTGTGTGTTTGCCTCTGTGTGTTGCTGTGCATTTGTGTTTCAGGGGTAAGAATAATGTGGAAAAGAGGGGATACATATGAGATTTTACAGTGTACACATTTCATGTAGCTTTGAGTTTTCTGAACCATGTGACTACATTACCTATATCTAAAAACCCTCTTTCCCTTGCCTATTACTTTTTTAAACAAGCATCTGTGGCCATACTCTAAAATTTGACAATAAATAAAAATTTTAATGTAGGTAAATGAGTAAAAATGCATCTTAGACAAAGGGATAGCAGAGAATATGAAAGCCATAAAGAGAGCAGAAGACGAGGGAAACTACAGCATACAAAAACTATTATTATTATTTTTTTTTTTTTGACAGGCAGAGTGGACAGTGAGAGAGAGAGACAGAGAGAAAGGTCTTCCTTTGCCGTTGGTTCACCCTCCAATGGCCACCGCGCTGCGCGGCCGGTGCACCATGCTGATCCAAAGCCAGGAGCCAGGTGCTTCTCCTGGTCTCCCATGGGGTGCAGGGCCCAAGGACTTGGGCCATCCTCCACTACACTCCCAGGCCACAGCAGAGAGCTGTCCTGGAAGAGGGGCAACCAGGACAGAATCCGGAGCCCTGACCGGGACTAGAACCCGTGTGCCGGCGCCGCTAGGTGGAGGATTAGCCTATTGAGCCACAGCACCAGCCTATACAAAAACTATTATCTTATTAATAACAGCAAGGAAGTCAACACAAGGAGAAAAAAAAGCCCATTGAGGTAATTCTTTTTTTTTTTTTTTTTTTGACAGGCAGAGTGGACAGTGAGAGAGAGAGACAGAGAGAAAGGTCTTCCTTTGCCGTTGGTTCACCCTCCAACGGGCACCACGGCCTGTGCGCTGCAGCCGGCGCACCGTGCTGACCCGATGGCAGGAGCCAGGAGCCAGGTGCTTCCTCCTGGTCTCCCATGGGGTGCAGGGCCCAAGCACCTGGGCCATCCTCCACTGCACTCCCTGGCCACAGCAGAGAGCTGGCCTGGAAGAGGGGCAACCAGGACAGAATCCGGCGCCCCAGCCAGGACTAGAACCCGGTGTGCTGGCGCCGCTAGGCGGAGGATTAGCCTAGTGAGCCGCGGCGCCGGCCCATTGAGGTAATTCTGAATGGAAGAAATTCTTTGCTCACACCAGGGCCTGCCCTTACCTGGACAAGTGCTTTGAGGGTATGCTTGCTCCACTGACCATGGCTCCTCTCCTTGTTCCAACAGCGAGATGACCTCAGGCTTGGTGATCTGATTCCCTACACATGAAGGAAAAACGTGGGACTTGTGTAAAGCTTTGGGGGAAGCCAAACAAAGCTTCTCCTGCCTATTCCTCCCTGTGACTTCTCAGTGGGGCAGACTAAGATCAGTTCCTCCCACTTCAAGCTTCCTAAACATTAGGAACTTGATCCCTGATCCTCAGGGCTCAAGATCATCTCACACTAAGAGAAGCAATGACTTGATCAGCTCTCATCCTGACTGTCAAGGAACAGCTTACCATTTTAATCTTTTCAGTATTTTCTTTGTCTATTTAACACCATTGGATGAACTCTTTACATAACACAGAATTATTCCTAGGTGCTTAAATCCAATTGAAAATTGATCCCTGTTAAAAATAAAAGTGGGAATAAGAGAGGCAGGAGATGTACAGTTTGGCACATGTTCCCTCCGACCTACCCCTAAGGGTAAAGCTAAAAATTTGCCATGGGACTCCAAATCCCATTAAGTTGGCAGGTACCAATGCCATCTTACTAGTTAATGTGATCAGTTTAAGTTCATAACTGATCATAAACTGTCAAAGGGATCACACAAATAAGACCAAGTATGTGCTAATAATAATTGATAGAATTAAAAAGGAGAGAACAATCCAACATGGGAAGCAGGACACACAGAATGACAAATGCCCTAAATAGCACTCTGGCCTCAGAATCAGCCCTTAAGGCATTTGGATCTGGCTAAAAAGCCCATGAGAGTATTTCAGGCATGGAAAGCCAAGACATCGTGGCAAAAACTGACCTACATGAAAGATCTCTGTGAATGAGATCCCGGTGGAAAGAACAGGCCATCAAAGAAGGAGGTACCCTTCTCTGAAGGGAGGAGAGCGCCTCCACTTTGATCACGGCCCTGTTTAAATAATGTCGGAGTTTGTGGACTCAAGAGGCTTCCATAGCCTTGGCAGCTCATGACAAGAGCCTTGGGTAATCACTGATGTCATAAATAAGAGTGTCAATTGTTAAATCAACAACTGGAGTCACTATGTACTTGCTCTCCATGTAGGACCTCTGTCCTTAATGTGTTGTAGTGTGAGAATTAACGGTACAACCAGTCTTCAAACGGTACTTTACACTTTGTGTGTCTGTGTGGGTGCAAACTGTTGAAATCTTTACTTAGTATAGAGTTGATCTTCTGTATATAAAGATAATTAAAAATGAATCTCAATGAAGAATGGGATGGGAGGGGAGTAGGAAGTGGGATTGTTTGGGGTGGGAGGGCAGGTATAGCGGGAAGAACTGCTATAATCCAAAAATTGTACTTATGAAATTTATATTTATTAAATAAAAGCTTTCTATTAAAAATAAAGCATCTAAAGCTAAATAAATAAATAATCATCTCAGCCCTCCTGAAGCTGGCCCCGACCATGATAGCTTTTAAACATCTTGGGCACCTGCCTTACCCACGGACAGCAGATGTCCATAGGTCTCCAGCATCACATCTCGGTACAGAGTCCTCTGAACAAGGTCCAACTGCCCCCATTCTTCTTGAGTGAAGTCCACTGCCACATCCTTGAAGGTTACTGGTTCCTAAAAGAACACACACGTTCCTTTTCAGCCAGGACCACTCCCTCCAATGTTTCTTGGGATTGGGTGAAGCTGACGGCCCTGGGGAAAGGAGTCAGAACGTAGGACTATCCAGGATATATGCAAAACTGATTGACATATGTCAGTCCTAGTGGGAATACCCCAGGGTCCTACATTTAGGATGTGATCTTGGGGAATAAGATACCTGGGCCCAAGTAAGCACAGGAAAGATGAGCAGGTGTCTCCCAAGACTCTTGCCCAATTCTAGTGACCCTGGCTAGTGTGGATAGGATTCCACATGGGCAATGTCCCCTCCTTTCAAAATGCAAACGTGTAGCAAGGTCCAGACCACAGCAGATATAGACACAAGCACTGGTCACAGGCCAGAGACTTTGGCATCTTTGCCCCAGTATGTGGATCTAGGACCTTGTAGTGTGATTTGGACATTTACAAGCTGTCTTCCTATTCATGGTATGGATGCTTCCATTCCCAGATCATTTATGTCCAAGCAGAGCTAAGAGTGAGCAGGACAGCCCAGACCACCCAGGCCAAGAAGAATCAGTTACAGCAGCCGTCAGAAGCCCCTGAAATAGGAGCAGGTATTTGGAACAGTGGCTTAACTTTCTACCTCTGGGACCCACATCCCATTTCAGAGTGCTTGGTTTGAGTCCTTGCTACTCTGCTTCCAATCCACTTTCTTGCTCAGGTACATTTTGGGAGGTAGCAGATGAAGGCTCAAGTACTTTAGTCCCTGCCACCCATGTGGGAGATCCATATAGAGATCTAGGCTCCTGGCTTTGGCCTGGTCCAACCCTGGCTGTTACAGGCATTTGAGGAATGAACCAGCAAATGGAAGATCTCTCTCTCTACCTCTCACATTAAAAAAAAGAAAAATTAAAGCACTTAAATTAAATAAAACCCAAACTAGAGGGAAAGATGAATGATAACCCAGGTCTAATTTTTGCAATGAATAAATCTCTTGTCATCCTTGTAAGAAATCATGAGTCTCATGTACCTGAGCATTCCTGGGGGGAGTGGACAGATGCCTCCCCTGTGGTGGAGAGGTTGGCTTCTCAGCCCCCTACAACCTGTCCATACCTCACTGTCTGGAAAGCAGCTTTCTGATCTATCTCCATTATCAGTGCAGACTCAACCCTAAGGCAAACATCCACTGAGCTGAGACATGTGCCGTGCATCATTTCCACCCCAAGGATCCTCTGGGCAGCACCCCTACTCTTCACAGCTGTGTCACTTCTATGCAAATAAGCTCTTTCCCGTGGCCTGCCTTACCTGTCTCTGCCTCACAGCTACACACTGAGCGTCGCTCTGATCTGGCCAGCCTTGCTGCTTAGTCTTAAGCTTACCGACTTTGACTCTGCTCATCTGAACTGCTCTTCTCCACCTTCACACAATGACTGGCTTAAAACAAAGACTTGATTTTGCTCCAAAGACTCCCTTACCCAGAAAAACCAACTCCTGCTGCAAACCCCACTCACACAGCCTTACAACAGCCCATGGTCTTGGTGATCCATTGGAAGCATTTTGGGGCACTGATTCTTATTTTTGCCAAGCTCTCTCCAAGATCCCTGATGCTGTACAATTGCAAAACACATGGTGGATTTCTGCTTCCACCTTCTCTGACATTCCCCAACACTGAGGTCATCCATGCCAGTTTCCTGGTTGTCATCTTATAGACCTGCTCAAACTTCAGTGTCCTTTATGGCTGCAGCTCGTATGTTAGGAAGTTAACACAAACTTCTTAAGTTTACTTACAACACACAGCCAGAGATGTACACAAAATGTAAATCTGATGTACTTTCATAGAACAGTCACACCTGAGGAACAGGACAGGAGGGCTCTGGTCCTGCGCTCATCTCCCACACCTTCACAGGGGTGGGTAGCATCTTCTTAGATGGCTTTGATGTCCACCTACACTTAACAAGGCCCAAACCCACATGCTGGAACCTGTTAAGCTGGTGGACAGAACCACAAACTTCAAACTTCCTCCCATTCCTCCTAAGATCTCAACAGAATTAGTATATGTTTAGAAAGGAATAGAAGAATCACATCTCATGGACACAAGAGGAATAAAATCATTAGTGGTTTTGCAAGCCCTATTAAAACAGTGGACACTGGCAATAACCATCAATGACTGCTGAAAGGCAGACAGGGATTGGCCTGACAATTGCTGCACCCACCAATGCCTATCACCTGAAAATGGAATAACCAGACAATATGTGACCACAGGCGCAACATAGCAGGAAGGGCCCAGCAACACTTAGGAGGTACTCCCACCAAAAATACCCAATAAGGAACTGGCATTGCAGCACAGTGGGCTAAGGTGATGCCTGTAACACTGGCATCCCGGATCAGAGTGCCATTTCAAGTCCTGACTGCTTTCATTCCAATGCAGCTCCCTGCTAATGCACCTAGGAAAGTAGCAGATGATACCCCAAGTGCTTGGGCCTCTGCCATTGATGTGGACACTAGGATGGAGTTCAAGGTCCCTGCATTCAGCCCAGACCCATACAGCAACTGCAGCCATTTGGGTAGTGAATTAGCAGATGGAAGATTCCATATATTCATATGTTTGCTCTCGCTCTCTCTCTCTCTCTGCCTTTCTCTGTCACTCTGCCTTCCAAATAAATAAATCATTAAAAAAAATACCAATGAATCTGTTCAGGCCTCTAGTCTAATTTCCCTATATGGGAAAGGCCAATTCATTCAATGACATCACAAATGTTCAGTAAGGCAAAGGACCTAGATTCTTCAGCATATAAAGCACACACTGGGCTTTGTTTGCATCCTGGTTTGAGCAAACCGACTCTAAAACACTCTGGGGGCAAGTGAGAAAAGTTCAAACTGCACTGGGTATTAGGTTAAATTAAGGAATTGTGATAGTGAAGATTACTGTTAATTTTTCTGGGTTGGTAAAGGTATTGTAGTTATGTTCCAAAAGGTACATCTCTCTTAGATATACATATATGAATAAAACCATTTGAGGGCAAAATGATACAATTTTAGGATCTGATTTAAAATGCTCCAATTTAACATAAAGGTTGTGCAGGGACAGCTAAAAAGGAACAAAGGTGAAAGCTGGCCGTGACTGACACTGATGAACATGGGTGCTTATGGTAGGCAGAAGAATGACCCCACCCCCCCACAAAGATGGCCATGTGCGGATCCCAGAACCTGTGACTATTACCTTATTAATTAAAGGCACTTGGCAGATGTGGTTAAAGTACAAGTGTCAAGATGGGCAAGTATCTTTGATTATCCAGGTGGGCCCAGTGCCATCACAGGTTCCTTACAAGTGAGACTGGGAGGCAGGAGCCAAGCCAGAGGAGAGGTGATGATGTAAGCAGAGGTCACAGTAAAGCACCTTAAGACAGAGATTCAGGTGGCCTTCAGAAACTGGGAGCAGCAAAGCAACAGATTCTCCCCGGGCCTCCAGAAGGAATACAGCCCTACACCCATGTTAGACTTCTGAGCTCCACAACAAGAGAACAAATTCATATTATGAAGTTTGTGGTAACCTGTTACAGTGGCAACAGAGAACTAATGCAGGCTTCATGTCTGGGTTTATAAAATCTCCTAAATTAAAAAAGGGGAAGTAAAAGAAACATCCCCCAGCTCATGAAGAGCGCATCAGCACCTGGAGTTCCACACACTGGCAAGATGCACAGCAAAGTGAGGCTGACCAACTAAGCAGACCAGAGCCACTGCAACCAAGCAGAAGCAGGGCGGTCTGCAGCAGTCAGTACCAGGACAGGGCCTGGGCACAAGCTTACACAATACAGTGAAGGTAGCAGGGAGAGGCTGAAAACAGGACAGCTTTGTCAGCCACCCTACTTTGTGGGCATGGCTCCCGGTATCACTGCACATCTCGCTGGCAAATCTCCCAGAAGTCTTCTCACACTACAGTGTTAAGTGTGGGAGGTACCCAGGCTGAGTACTCAAGTTGAGACCGCGTCAGTCCCGGTTGGCTACGGGTGCCCATGGGCTGACAGCTCAGGAAATTAGAAGCAGCACTGCTCCACTGGTCCTTGCTCACAAACAGCCACGAAGCCCAGAGTACAACTCTTCAGGACCATGAACCAGAACTGTTCAAGAACAGCACAACAGGACTCTCAAACAGCCTCACAGCCCTTCCCTGGTAAATATGGACAGAACAGAGCAACCAGAACATGAGGCACACCTGCCACACAGGTGGACAAACCAAGTTCTGCAGCCAAGAGGACACAGAATCCAGACAAAAGCCACATCCAACCTTCAGTGGACTCTGATTCAGATTTTCAGGACAGAGAAATTCCAGGCTGCTATAAGAAAGGCTCTCTCAGAGAACAGGAAATAATTCACAGAACATGAAGAAGCAGAAGACACAGCAATCAGTTCAGGAGGCTCCCAGAAGAGGACTGTTATAAGAACAGGGTCCCCAGGCCTCTCACTCTCCACCAAGAAAAGGATATGGGATATAAAGAGACTAGAGACACAGGCCTGTTATCTAACAGACGACCCCAAAAGAGAATATAAAGAACAAGAGAGAAATATTTATCAAAAAAAAAAACCTCTTAAAATAAGATACAAAAAAAAAAAAAAAAACCAGTAGCCATAAAGACATACATTTGACAAAAACATGCCAAGAAGTATTTGGCTGAAAAATGCACCATTTAAGACAAGCTACACACTGAGAACATAATTCACAAATGGCTAAGAAACGAGATCCAGAATGTGTGTCAAATACCTACAAGTCAGTAAGTCAGGCTCTAGAAATCTAAGGAAGGAAATACAGATGGCCAATAAAAGTATCAATCACAAGCTTTTTCTGGTCTTTAGCTAAGCAAAAATTTGTCCAGTGCTGGCAAAGCTGCAGGGAAATGAGGGCTTTTTCCCAGATGAAGACATGGCTTTGTCTGGTACAAGATGGCCCAAGTCCATGTGGGAGACCTGAAGAGGCTCCTGGCTCCTGGCTTCTGATCAGCGCAGCTCTGGCTGTTGTGGCCTCTTGGGGAGTAAACCAGTGGATGAAAGACCTCTCTCTTTGCCTCTGCCTCTCTGTAACTTTGTCTTTCAAAGAAATAAATAATTTTTTTTTTTTTTTTTACATGCAGAGTGGACAGTGAGAGAGAGAGACAGAGAGAAAGGTCTTCCTTTTGCCGTTGGTTCACCCTCCAATGGCCGCCGCGCTGCAGCCGGCGCACCGCGCCTATCCGAAGGCAGGAGCCAGGAGCCAGGTGCTTCCTCCTGGTCTCCCATGGGGTGCAGGGCCTAAGCACTTGGGCCATCCTCCACTGCACTCCCGGGCCACAGCAGAGAGCTGGCCTGGATGAGGGGCAACCGGGACAGAATCCGGTGCCCCAACCGGGACTAGAACCCAGTGTGCTGGCGCCGAACCCAGTGAGCTGCGGCGCCAGCCATAAATAAATCTTAAAAAAAAAAAAAAAGTGACTTTGTCCCACTGGAGCACCATCTGGCAGCACTAGTAATATTGAAAACTCACACCCAAAACTCAGCAAAATTGAGCTTCTCTGTGTGCGCGTAGATACAATTCCACATGTACAAAGTGGAACCACAGGAACATTCACACAGCTTTGGCTGGTATAGCAAACACAGTGGCGGGAGGGAGTACATGTAAGCATCCATAGAGGAATGGATGAATACTAACACAAGTGCATCTCTCCAAACAGTACTACCTGGCAGGGCAAAGGGAACAAATCTGGTCTAACTGTCATCAGAGATGGACCCCAAAGTTTAACAAAAGAAGTTACAGAAAAGTGACATGTAAAAAACAAGCAAAACATTGATTTAAAACAAGTTTACCTTTGTATGAGTATGAAAATGGATGAGCTGATACACACTGAATCCACAAGCAACTGCTCTGAGAAAGGGTGAGAATGTGATTGTGGACTACATAAAAAAGGAAAAAAGCAACTAAACACTAATAACTGTTCAGAGTGATCGGGGGTGATGTTTGCTTAGTTACTTTATGTGCTTTTCTGTAATTGTGGAATTCATCAAAATAAAACTTAGAATTAGAAAACATTTGCAGAATGGAAAACAAGGTTATTAAACCAGGCATGTGAACTAAAAGCAGTCAGAAAAAGACCTGCCAGCTGAACACACCCCCAGCATCAGGACCCACAAACTGTGGAGGCTTCAACTCAGGGATGGTAAAGGACACTGTAGATACTTTTAGCCCAGAATTGCCAGGAAAAATGAAAAACCAAGAGTCTGGAAGGACGAAATGGCAGAAGACAAGCATCTGTCTTACCAGCTGTGGAGATGGGCCCTGTACAAGTTGACAAGGAAACGCATGCTTCTGTTTTCTGACTGCAGGTGAGGGTGCAGAGCACAGGAAGGCACTCCCGAGGAGGAGCAGGCCCTTGGGTCTCACTGGATAACCCAATGAACTGAAGACTTTCAATCACATGCTAGAATGACTTGCAGAGGGCTCACCCAAGTTCTTGAAAGCATTCTTGCACAGAATCACTTTGTACACACGTACAAGCTTCCATCCGAGCATTCTAGAGCACTTTTCAGAATCTGCTAACCCATCCGCTGTACATTTAAACTCTGCAAGGGGCTGAGAGGGGCCAACAGTGCCGAGAAGGCTCTCAGCTGGTTGCCTGACAGGATCTTGATAGATGGCTCATTATCTCAGTTTCCTCAAAGTTGGCCTCTTTATCGAATCTGAGGCAATGTCAGTTGGACTTTTTGGTAGAATTCACTACTTCAGAGCAAGTTCTTTACAGATCTGGGAAATGTTAACTACACTGAGTAGCACCAGGGATGGGTGCAGAGTGTTACTGGCTTTTTATGTGTGTTTGTCAAGCAGAAATCCTTGGTGGGTTGTTACAGAGGGATTTGAGAGTGTTTCTGTTTTTGAGGAGACTGGTGGGGTTTTTAAGTGGACTAGAGGATCATCACTACTATTATCTTTCCCTTGAAATGACTGTATCTAGGTTTCTACTGGCTGAAATTTCACTATCCAACAGGTTCCTAGAATAGACTATTCAGACAATGAGGGATGACAATACTTGATATTTTCTCAGGTGGATGCTTTATTTCAGTCAAAAGCTAACTTGGAAAGCGTAATACAGGGACATGGGATTCACCTGTGCTCCTGAAGATCAGACCTTTCTTAATTAAAAACTCACATGATTCAAGTCCAAGTTTCCCATAAGAAAAAATCCAGAGTGTGGGGAGGGGGCCAGGAACATGTTCTCAGAAATCACAACTCTTCAGACATTAATGTGTGTTGTTATTTTAATTCTGTTTTATTTTCTCAGCATTAACTCTAATAATTCTCAGAAACCCTTGCATAAATTAACAGCAGAATGCAGCACAGCTCTTAATCGGGTTTCTTCACAATAATTTATTACAGCTAACTTGTGTCCCGGAGAATGATTCAGGGCCCGTCTTTCAGCCTAGCCTAGCTTCTGTTTTAGAAACTAAAAATGAATATATACATTGTAACAGCAGTAAACTTCACAGTCACCCAAATTCCAATGCCAAACAACTACCACCCTGCACCACTCAGTTCAAGCCCTCTGCTTCCCGGGGACAGCAGCGCTGCCATACGCAGTTCATACTTACGATGCACTTCACCTGTCAGAAACTGTGAAAGGTTTTATTAATTTTTTTTAATGTACAGGAGGCATAAAGTTAAGGAGAGACGAAATTTAAAAATTTTTTAATATCACATTATTTCACATTTTGATTCATTTTTAACTTACAACTAAAATATCTAAATAATGAAACTATTTTTCTTTCTCTTTCAGGAAATCAACACAGTAAATGTAAACTGATTAAGTAGTAAAAGCTTCCATTTAGAAATATGGAGATAATCCTAAGAAACTGAAAACAGGGACTTAAAATGGCTGTTTCTCAGTCATGGAAAGAAATACTGTTGCAGGCTGCATCTGGATAGTCACTGAACACATTATGCTCACGTTTAAGTGAAAGAAGCTAGAAGTAGAAGGTCTCATATTACATAACTCCATTCATCTAAAATGTCCGAACAGGCAACCCCACAAAGACAAAAGCAGATTGGTGGTTACTAAGGCCTGGGAGCACAGGGAACAGGGAATGCCTATGAGTGGGTATTGGACTTCTTTCTGGAGTGATGACAGTCTTCTAGAATACTAGAATACTGGTGATGGTTGCACAATTCTGTGAATAGACTAAAAACCAATGTGTATACTTTAAAAGAAAAACCTTTATATCACATGAACAGCGTCTCAATAAACTATTGTAAAAAATTCTTAGGTGGCTACCTCTGGTACGAAGGCTGAGCAGGATAAAGGGAGGGAGACGGCACCTTTCCCACATTAACTCCACTGTCCTGTTTCTCTCAGGAGCCACAGTTGTGCCAAGTCTTGAAGTCCCCTGCTTCAACTCCCTCTATGTGCCTCCGCTTTCACCCTCCTCCCCAGTGTCATGGATGGGTCAGACAAAAGCTCCCCAAAGCCTCCTTCCCTAATACCCACGGAGGCATCTGTACAACCACATTCTGGACTGTGGACCTCTTGTTCCCAACACCAGCAGGATGGAGTCCCAGCCCTGCAGCAGGCATTCAGGGCCCGGCTGGGTTCATCCTAGTCATTCCAGTCTAAAATCTAACTGGGGTCAGTCTACATCTGGGCACTGGTCATATAGTACACCTCCCTCCCTCCCCATTGGCCCAAGATATACCTGTGCTGGTCTAAGAAGTCAGCCCCTGATCACCAGGCTCACCTCAGTGCTCTGTGCCCCACTGACATCTATGCAGACTCTCTCATCTCCCAAGACAGCTGGACTGAGCCCCCCAAGACTCAGGGCTCCCCAAATGCCTGAGGCTTCTTGTGTCTCACAGCGGGTGCAGCCCCAGACAAGCTGTGAGGTATCATTAGTGACTGAACAAATCTGGGTAGGGGTCTAGGGGCTCCTCAGGGTGCAGGCTCCTCACACCTGCCCTTACTCCCCTCACAGTAGGCACAGAGTTCACAGCAGAGCATTATCCTAAATCAGGAGCTGAATATGTGAGCTAAGCTGGGAGGAGGAGAGAGGAAAAAGGTTGCCAGCCAAGAGGGTTACTCCTTGTCCCCCAAACTAACAACCCTGTGGACAGATTGGTTGTCATTGAGGCTCTAAGTCAGGGAAAAGTGCCTGAAATCTCTCTACTTACACTCAGGAAACATTAACTTGCAGCTAATTTCTTCTCTGCCTAAATTCTTACTGTTGTAAATTGAGGAATTACATCAAGTAACATGGCCTGGGACAAGCCAAATACCTATCCTTTGGAACACCCGTCCTTCAGGAAAATGCGGAAGCCCCATCTCACCTGGACACGGGCCGCTGGGAGCCTGGCAGCCCTCCTCTCTTCCTCAGGGCTCCCTTCCACGTGCCAGGCAGGGTCCTGAGGACACAGAGCTGGGGGAGGAAACAGAAATTACGGAGGCAGCTCTCCCAGTCAGACGTTCACCCATGTAAGCCCTTCCTCCTGGGGAGCTGGGGGATCTGCCCCGCCCCTACCCCTCAGGCAAGAAGACCCACTTCTTTCCACAGATGAAGAAAACGGGGCTCACAGAAGGCAAGAAATGGTCCTGAAGAGATGCGTACCTCACTGTCCCCTATGCTATAAGGCAACATCTCCAAGAGGCACTATATTCCACAGCCTTCCAGGCCAGGTTAATTCTCATGCATCCTGTCCTGGAGACGTCACCACTACTTTATCCCCCCACCGTGTGTTATGATCCCTCCTTGTTTCTACTCTGCACAGATACAGATCTGGGCCACAAATCCTCTGCCCTAAAGCCCAACCCAGTCCCCAGCTCTTAACCCCACCACTGGCAGATGACTTCAAGGATAGGACACAACATGGCAGCCAAGTGGGTGACGAGGACATATGCTCTTGACTCACCCCAGGAGGGCCACGGGTCAACAGCTGCCATCCCCCAAGTCTGGTGTGTAAAGGCACCTGCACAGAAGGATCAGATTACAACTGTCACCAAATGTAGAGACTAAAGATGACAAAATGCAAAAGCGGATTATCTGACATACGTGCATGACAAAGTTCTATGAATGAGCCCAAGGGCATGTGAAAAAGTTCAACATGAACTTCGGGAAATGCACTGGTCACTGTCAGAAAATGTATTGATGTGATGTAGCCACAGGACAGCTAAAAATATAGCTCTTTAAATGGCTTAAGAGGTAACTGGAAAAAGTAACATTATCTAATTTTTTAAAATCTTGATATTCCCTTGAAGTCTTTAGTGAATAAAAAGACTGACATAACATTGTTATTTAACATTGTTTTTAAATTATAGATCAATGCTATATAAGTGAAAACAATAATAGAGTTTAAAAATTCAGCCATAGGGGCCGGTGCTGTGGTACAGTAGGTTAATTTTCTGCCTGCAGTGCTGGCATCCCATATGGGCACCAGTTCTAGTCCTGGTTGCTCCTCTTCCAATCCAGCTCTCTGCTATGGTCTGGGAGAGCAGTAGAAGATGGCCCAAGTGCTAGGGTCCCTGCATCCTGGCTCCTGGCTTCAGATCAGTGCAGTTCTGGCCATTGCGGCCATTTGGGGAGTGAACCAGAGGCAGGAAGACCTTTGTCACTGTCTCTTCCTCTCACTGTTTGTAACTCTATTTCTCAAATAAAATAAAATCTTTTTTAAAAAAAAATACAGTAACAGAAAATAGCATTTTGATTTGTATGTATGATTTTTTTTAAAAAAACCACAGAAAAATCTCTGGAGCCAATGACACTTCTCAGGAGCCATCTGTATTTTATACAGAAGCTATACTATTTTTTATACCGACAGTTTTCCCATCTCCAAACAGTGCCAACAGTTTTGCTCTGTCTCTAAACAGTTCTAACTCTGTACCACTTCCTGCTCCCAAAACCCTCAGTCCTTCCCCAGCTACAGCAGGTGACAACTGGAGAGGTCCGGAAGAAACAGAACCTAGACTCACCCCAGGAAGTCCACGGGTTGATGGCTGCCATCCTGGAAGATTGCTCTCTACCAACTGCCAGACCAGGAGCACAATTCCCAACCTAGAGACAAAAGTGAAAAAAGACAAAATCAGTTTTCTCACGTAAGAGCCAGTGACAACAAAGAACCAAAGGGCTCCCAGGGAGCATTAAAAAATAATAATAATAATATACAGGTCAAAAACATGGCAGAATTCCCACAAAGAAATGAAAGATAATTTGAATAAGCTGACAAAAAGTGTGATCTTGGATTAGAGATTAAAAACTGGTGAACTTTTCCCAGGGGAGAGCCAGACAACTTCGACGGACCTTTTCAACGGATTTGACAAAACTGTAAAATCTACCTGCAATCCTCACTGTGCAGTCAGTGGCAGCACAGAACTAGGGGAAGGGGCAGTGGACAGCGACTTAATGGAGGTGATGGAATTCGAAAGGCACAATGGCTGCACAATTTTCTGACCATACACAGCCACTGAACTGCCTACTCTAAAATGAAGTCGTGAACATCATGGACTTTCATCTGCCTCCCCGCCCCCAACCCACCTGCAAGACCTACCAGGCTCAGCCCGTGTGTCGTGGTGTGGAGTCACAGGCAGGTTTGGCGCCCGGGCTCCCAACTCCACGTCCGTTAAGTCTCCAGACCTGTCTGACGGATGCCTGGGGCTTTGGGTCAGGCACCAGCATGCGCACTAGCGCCAAGATCACCTGGTCGGACCCACGCCAAAACCGCTGTGTGCGGTTTGACATCTCCCGGTCACTGCATAGTAAAAAAGAACCTGAGGCTGTTCCCAGCCCACTTCCGACGCTTTATGCAAACAGGCCCGGTCGAGAGACGCCTGCTGGGGAACGAAGCGGGGTCGCTAGTCCCCACTGCGGCCTCATCACCGGCTCCGGGAGCGCGCCCAGCAAGCCGCCGGCCTTACCTAGCTGGCAGCCACCGCCCCCCGCCCCTCCGCAGGCGTCTCTTCCTTGGGCTTTGGTCCAGAGCCGAAGTCCGGCCTGGCCATGCACTCAGCAACTCTGTGCGCGGCCGTGGGGACAAAGGGCCAGGACCGGAGCGCAGGGACCTCTGGGGCCCGCCGGGTCGGGCCGGACGAGGCAGGGAGCCTTGAGCTGGGAGAAGGCAGGGTCGAGGGCCGAGGGCGACAGCGCGGAGACGGCAAGCCCAGGACCTGTCCTGGCGCCGCGCCGGCCCCAATCGCAGACGCCTCCGGCTCCAACCCGCTCTCCCGAGCCTCTGGTCTCTCCGCGGGGGTGGGTGTAATGGCAGCAGTCCCACAGCCCGGGCGAAGGCCTCACCTCAGCCACGGACAATGGCGGTCGCTCGCCCGGCGTCTACCAGGACGCGCCGCGAGGTCTGCTGGGAGTTGTAGTTCGGGGCGACAAACGTCCGGCCTTGCCGGAAGCGCCGCCATGCTGGGCGGCCGAGTTGCTCCTCCCCAAGTCCCGCCTCCGCTCCGCCGCGAAGCACCTAGGGGCGCTCGTGTCGCAGCCCCTAGCGAGGTTAGGGTTTCTTCTGTGGACCCCTCACCGCCCCGACACGGAGCCCTTGCGAACTTTGGTGGGGCGGGAGTAAGTCGCGACCCCTGCACCTGTCAGCGAAATGGCTGTTGCTGGTAACCGCATTTCGCGGTGGGCTCTGAGGGCTGTCAAGGGATCGTTTCTTCGACAGTTACAAGATTTGCGAATGTGGGTGTGTTAGGCTTTTTAGTTTTAAGATGAGGAACTTAATCCAGAGCGTCCCCTCGCCTGCGAAGCCCCACTGCTGAGAACCTAAGGGATTGTTCGCAAGTTTTTCTGCAGATGACGGAGCTTCCGTGATTTTTCTTTCCTTTCGTCAACATTTACTGAGCGAGTAGAGGACGGAACACAGCAGTGAACACTCTGCCTCGGTAGCAGCCGTTCAACACCGAGATGGAAGGGAAGATGCACAGCTTGCTCACTCAGGGCACCGGCCTCCAGCCCTTGCTGACCTGGGAAGATCCCCCACAGCAGAGCCCGCTAACACAAAGCTTTAGGGGCAGTGCTGCAGGACCCCAGCATCTAGGTCTTCTCCCCGATGTACAGCAAGCCAATCACATCAGTGTGGCCCGAGAAAGTAGGTATTGAGGGTCAGGCGTTTAGCCCAACTAAGACAACTGGATTCCATATGTGAGCACTTGAGTTTGATACCCAGCTCCAGTTCCTGACTTAGCTTTCTGCTAATGCAGACCCTGGGAGGCAACAATGATGGCTCAAGTGATTGGGTTCCTACCACCCAGATGGAGACCTGGATTGAATTCTGGGGTTTTCTCTTCTACTCTGGCCCTGCCAGGCCACTGCAGGCATTTAGGAAATCACTAAGCACATGGACGGGTGGGCTCACTCTGTGTCTGTGTCTCCTGTCATGTCTATTTGCAAGAGTCAGGGGTTCTAGCCAGTCATTGCTTAATACCCAGCCTTCCCATAGGGTTAAGAGTAAGGAACCTTACAGATTGAAGCTGGGGTTGAACAGTGTATGATCCACCTGTGTACAGGTCTGGGGTTGGGTCACAGCACTCCCAGCCTGTCTCGGATGCATCAGCAACAGTATGGCCAGTGTGCTCTGAGAATGCTATGATGGCAAAGTGGGTGCCCATCTGCCTGAGATTTATGGGCAGACTGCTATTCCTTTGTTTATAAAGAGGACCTGGGGTTCCTGTGAAACATCTCAGAATGGAGTCAGGTTAGTTATACAGCAGATAATCGAATTCTGAGTCTTGTGATCTGGGGTCCTGTGGGATCAGCCTGATCTGTGCACCACTCCCTCCATCTAGTGAATTAATCTTCAGTTAAGGGATGGACTTACGGTCATCAAACCGAAAACAGAGGAGCTGCAAGCTAAGGCAGAGAGACTATGGCCTGTGAGGCCTGCACCAAAGGCGCTCAGTGTCACTCTCAGAGTCCCCTTTCTACCTTTGTTGGAGCTGAACTTCCCCCAGAATTTCACGTCCCCCTCTAGTGTTTGCACTGATCTGGGCTGGGTGTCTTCCCTTGCTGGCTGCCTCGGTGAGTGATCCACTTTTGATGTGCCACCCAGCAAACTTCTTTGAGCATATACTGAGTGCCTACCATGTGAGCCAGCTGTGGAAGCACCCAAGGCAAGTCAGACCTGTCTGTGGCTACTGAAGATCCACAGTATACAAAGGATGACAGACTAGGGAAGACTGGAATAAAAGTGGCTGAGGAGTGGGGCTGTGGTGTGTGCATGGCTTTCAGAGAAACAATCAGCTCTGTTAGGAAGAGGAGGGAGGGCCTGACAGAATGCACTTGGGCTGAGTATCTGTCAGATGGAGGAGGTTCTCAGGTGGAGGAAAGTGTGTGCAGAGGCTTGGTAGCATGGTGGGAGACAGGTCAGTCACTTAAATCTGCTGAGTGGAGACTGTCAGAGATTGGCAAGATGGGGAGGAGAAATATGGTGCGAGGAGAATTGCAAATTTTTATGTTGGTAAGTTATTGGAAACCATCGAAAGATTTTAGGCATGGAAGTGATGAAGCTGTATGTGAATTTTAATGAATTAGTGAGTCAGCCAGTGTAGAGAAGGGACTGTAGGATGTAAGACTGAAGACAGGATAGCCATTTAGGATGCTGAACTGAGTGAACAGTTGGTAAGAGAGGCCTCTCTCTTGTGCTGCCCTTCAAATAAAATCTTTTTAAAAAAAAGTATATAAAAGAAAAAAGGGGGAGAGGGAGCCATGTATACACACAATTTGGATGCATTTCACAAACACAATGATAAATGCTATATGATCACATTTATATGAAGTTCAAGGACAGTATGTCCAAGTGGATGTTTACAAAGGTCTTGTGCAAGGATTGATGATTAATATTGTACCAGAATGAACAATTTATTCAGGGTCAGGAAAATTAAGTTGTGGGTTTGGAGGGTTTCTATCAGGTAACTTTTTTTGTGTCTTATTTTGAATTCACGGCTGAATCTTGGTTTTGTAAGTCTTACGTTTCTGTTTTGAAATCTATAGATGGGAACATTTTTACTTCTGACAAATAAGGGGACACCACAGCCCAGGCTTGCGTCTCTGGTTGGCCAGCCAGTCCTTACCTCTAGATTCCCAGATGGAGGACTGGCCTTTCTGGCACAGCTGCTGAGGCCCACACAGCTTGCCTGTGAGAAGCAAGTGTGCTTCCTGGTAGACACTTTTAATCTGTGTCTCTAAAATACAAACACACTGATTTCTGTGTATTGGGTTAATCTCCCACTGTAATCATGCTGGGCATATATCTTTGGCTACACACAGATGAACGACCTATGTTTTATTTTTCTATCCAGTGATGAATAATAATGAAAATTTTGGATTCTGCCATCTTAGTATTATTCCTTGATGGAAATAACTTTGTTTTTAATTCATATGATACTCATTCATTGTAAGATCAAAATCATTTAGGAAAAGGCAAAGAGCAAATATGTCTTAATATCTTGCCACCATAGATAAGCAATGTTACCTTAAGGGTGACATTCTTCCACAGTTCCCCTAGGAGAGTTTTATAATTTTATAAAAGTTGGGACCATCCTTGTTGTTATGAACCTGATTTTCTCTCAGCAATAGATTTAATTTCTGCATCATAATTATTTAAACATTCTCCTACTGATTAGCATTTAGTATATTGGTATTATAAACCATACTATAAAAGGTCTTGTGACCACGTTTTTTCATATCTGGTCAGTTATTTCCATGAAAGAATTGCCAAAGTGAAATTTCTGAATCAGCTCTTGAGTAGCCATTGCCTCTGAGCATTTCCAATCTAACTTTCCTACAAATAGGGTGTACCTATGTGGTCACTTGTGGTGTTGACCAAAAGGGTCCATTTCCCCACTATTTATGTCTGTGTCCAACACTGTCTTTAAATCTCTGCTAGTTTGGGCCAGCGCTGTGGCGTAGTGGGTAAAGTCACCACCTGCAGTGCCAGCATCCCATATGGGCACTGGTTCAAGTCCCGACTGCTCTATTTCCAATTCCACTCTCTGCTATGGGAAAGCAGTGGAAGACAGCCCAAGTCCTTGGGCCCCTGAACCCATGTGAAGTTCCTGGCTCCTGGCTTCAGATTAGCACAGCTCGGGCCATTGCAGCCATCCAGGGAGTGAACTAGTGGACAAAAGACCTCTCTTTTTCTCTCTGCCTCTACCTCTCTGCTTTTCAAATACATCTTTAAAAAAAATCTCTGCTAGTTAACCTCTTTAGACTGTATTTTCTGCATCTGTAAAATGGAGATCATAGTACTTGCTTTACTAGGATCCTTGTGCTAAATGAAGTTATGTAGATTAAGTGCTTGGGATATTGCTTACCTCATAATAGCTACCCAAATATATATTATAATTTTTATTTACATTTCTGATTTTTAGTTCATTTACTTTTTGATGTATTCGTTGTCCATTTGCTCCTTTTCTGAACTGCTTGTTCATTCATAAGGATTAGTGAGCAACCCTGCCTTGGTCTTTCCTAAGTGGGATGGCAATAGCTGTTCATCAGAGATTGGCAAATCTTTCCTGTTGAAAGAATGATGGTACATAGTTGGCTTTTCAAACACTGCATATCTTTAATTAACTAATTAATTATATTTGAAAGGCAGAGAGAGAGAGAGAGAGAAATCTATCAGCTGGTTCATTCCCCAAATGCCCACAATAGCTGGGGCCAGGCCAGCTAAAAGCCAGGAGTCAGGAATTCAATCCAGGCCTCCCACGCAAGTGGCAGGGACCCAGCTACTTGAGCCATCACTGCTGCCTCTCAGGGTGCGCATTAGCAGGGCCTGAAACCCAGGCATCCATGTGGCATCTTAACAACTGTGCCAAATGCCAGCCTTGCAATCTCTTGACAATTACTCAACTCCTCCTAATAGTGTGAAAGTGGCTAAAGACAACATGAAAGTTTGTGTGCGTGTGTGTGTGTGTCCTGATCAAACTTTATTTACATGAACAAGTCGGCCAGATTTGGCTTGTGGGCCATAGTCTGCAACCTGAACTCTAGCGTCACCATTAAGCCTGAAACCATCATAATATAAAAAGTGTTTTCCTGACTTACTAGGGCTTTTTCTTCCTGAAGTAATATAATTTATCAGCTTGCTTCTCATTAATTATTGACATGACTTTTTTTCAATTGCCTGATTAAAATGGAGTATTGTAATTATAATGTCATGATTCTGGAGTGAATGTTTCCAGTCCAGGTGTACTAGCTGAACTGTCTTTACTGGCAGTATCTGACTCGCAATTTTTGCATCATTTTTCCTGAAAGATATTGGCCTTTAACTTCTTTTTTTGGGCTCTGACACAATGGTGTCAAATGTAAATGTCGGCTGGCGCCAATGGTTCACTAGGCTAATCCTCTGCCTGCTGCACCAGCTGCAGCGGCCATTATGGGGGTGAACCAATGGAAAAGGAAGATCTTTCTCTGTCTCTCTCACTGTCCAATCTGCCTGTCAAAAAAAAAAAAAAAAAAAGTAAATGTCCAGGCTTTTACATGTTCCGGAACAGCTATGTATCCAAGAGTTTTCTATGTCCTGAAGGGTGAAAAAAAAAAAATCACTGGTAAAATATCTTGGGCTTAGAATTTTTTTTGTGATGTAATTATTTAAGAAAATTTTCAATGTAATCTAAAACTTTTAGTTAATTTACGTTTTCTCTTTTTCATTCAATATTAAATTTTTTAGGATTATAACCATTTTCCCAGAAAACTTTTCACCTAGTTTTTTCAAGTGTATTAACAAAAAATGTAAAAACTTTTTGATATTATTGCTTTGCTCACTTTTCCTTCCCAATGCTGTAAATTTCTATGTCATTTTTCTTATGTTAGTTTGGAATTTCTGTCAGTCACCTTTTACCATGTATTTTTTGCTTTTATCCTTCCCTGTTTTGCTTATAAATAATTTTTCTCTAACTACTTTTTTGATCACTAGATTAATTTCTATTTCTCCTTGGTTTCTGCTACAACACTGAACCCATTTTAAAAAGGTTTTATTTATTTGAAAGAGAGAGATTTTCCATCTGCTAGTTCGCTCCCCAAATGCACACAACCAGGGCTAGGCCAAGCCAAAGCCAGGACCCTGGAACTCACTCCTCATGTCCATGTGGATGGTAGGGACCCGAATATATGAGCCATAACCTGCCACCCAGGATATGCACTAACAGAAAGTTGAGTTAGAAGCAGAGCAGGGCCTCAAACCCAGGCCTTCTATATGAGATGTAGGCATCTCAAATAGCATCTTAACAGATGTGTCACAATGCCTGCTCTTTTTTAAAATGCTGATTTTCATTTTGTTTGAAAGGCACAGAGACAGATACACAGGGAGATGGGTATCTTCCATTTGCTGGTTCATTCCCCAGGTGCCCAACAGTCAGGGCTGGATCAGTCTGAAGTGAGGAACCTGGAACACAATCCAACTCTCCTACACAGAAGACAGGGACTCAAGTTTTTAAGCCATCACTTTCTGCATCCTAAGGTGCAATTGGTGAATCCAGGACTCAACCCAGGCACACCTAGTATGGGAGGCCAGCATCCCAGCTGTCGACACCAAATGACCACTGCAACACTACCAGTTCAGATTCACATCTGATGTACATGTCTTTGTCTTTTAATTTATTGTAAAACTATAGCAATTATTCTTGACAATTATAGCAATCTTGACTGTGAGAAAGAGATAAGTCTCCCAACAGTCTGATTCTCATGAAAATTGGTTACATTAATTTCTCTTTCCTTCTAAGCATACAGAGTCTCTTTGAACCCATATAAAAGCAATGAACCCAAACACTGTGGCACCAATGTCTTCACTAAGAGATGGCTCCTGAGGCTCTCTAGTGAGGGCCCAGCTCCTTGCCCTGCCTCTTCCCTGCTGAGCCTGGCGTCCATGCCTTATGCAGGCCAAGGTGTTCCTCTCAGGCTTCAGCAAGATGATGTAGCACTTGGGGAGGAAAATGCCACCCAGCAGCCCTGCAGTGGAGGCCAGGATGGAGAAGATCTCCACGGCCACCGTGGACTTGCCCCGGGAACTGTGGTACAGGGGCAGGAAAGCCGTCCAGATGCTGCAGAACAACAGCATGCTGAAGGTGAGGAACTTGGTCTCATTGAAGGCGTCGGGCAAACCCCTCGCCAAAAATGCCATACAGAAGGTGGCCCCTGCCAGGACAGCCAGGTAGCCCAGCATGCAGTAGAAGCCAACACCAGAGCCCTCCTGGCAGTAGATGACAACCTGACTGGGCTCTGACGCCACGTCTCTGTGTGGGAATGGTGGGGAGGTGCCCAGCCAGACCCCACAGAGAACAACCTGCACCAAGGAGGCCGTAAGGACCACCGAGGAGGAGGCATTTGGCCCCAGGCACACCTGGACCCTGACTCCTGGCCTGATGGCCCTGAATGCCAAGACCACGGTGAGGGTCTTGGCCAGGACAGACGAGACAGCCACGGTGAACACAACAGCAAAGGTGGTCTGGCGAAGAAGGCAGGTGGCGGTGGTCGGGCGGCCGAGGAAGAGCAGGGGACAGAGGGCACAGAGCGCCAGGGAGGTGAGGAGTGTGTAGCTGAGAGCCCTGTTGTTGGCTCTGACCACAGGTGTGTCCGAGTGCTTCAAGAACACCCCGAGGACCAGCACAGCCAGGCCAGCCAGCAGGAGCACCACGGAAGCCAGCGTGAGTCCCAGGGGCTCATCAAAGGCCAGGAAGGTCTCTGTCCTGGGCAGGCAGCGGTCTCTGGTGGGGCTCGAGTACTGCTCCTTAGGGCACAGAAGACACCTCTTCATGTCTGTGGAGACACACACGACCCCACGTCTGCAACACGGCAGTCATGGACCCAGCCCTGTGGAGGGAGGCTCCCTATGCACCAAGCAGCTCTCTGAATGTCTCACATACACTGAGAGATCTATGAAGTACCCCTAGTAACCCTGCTGAGATGGGCCACATTAGAGCCTGACACACAGGGAAAATGCACACCCCACACTAATTTGCTTTTAATTTGATTTTTTAACAGTTAATTTTTTTCAAGTACTGGCAGTAACTGGTTCTAATTAGCAATTATTATGGGCTGAGTTGTGTTTCTCCCCCACCCCGCCTCCCCAAATTCCATATATGATTTGGATGTGGTTTGTGCCTGAGGGTTTATGTGCTAAAAGTTTCGTCCCCACTGTGACAATGGCAGGAGTGACAGACACTTCAAGGTGGAGGGCCTTGTGGGGGGAGCACTAATGCTTGGACTGGATAACACAGTCCTCAAGTTCTCGCTATAAAGAGAGCACAATGGTTGCCTCCCCAGTCTCTGGCTTCCTGTCTCATCTTGTGACCGCTCCCTCTCCCTGTGCGCCCACCATCATGCTATCGGCCATGGGATGCAGTCAGGGGGCCCTCACAGGAGCTGACACCATGCTCCTGTACCTCCAAAGCTGACAGCTAAATTAACGTCTTTTGGGGCCGGCGCCGCGGCTCACTAGGCTAATCCTCCGCCTAGCGGCGCCGGCACACCGGGTTCTAGTCCCGGTCGGGGCGCCGGATTCTGTCCCGGTTGCCCCTCTTCCAGGCCAGCTCTCTGCTGTGGCCAGGGAGTGCAGTGGAGGATGGCCCAGGTGCTTGGGCCCTGCACCCCATGGGAGACCAGGAAAAGCACCTGGCTCCTGGCTCCTGCCATCGGATCAGCGCGGTGCACTGGCCGCAGAGCGCCGGCCACGGCGGCCATTGGAGGGTGAACCAACGGCAAAGGAAGACCTTTCTCTCTGTCTCTCTCTCTCACTGTCCACTCTGCCTGTCAAAAAAAAAATTAACCTCTTTTGGTTATTTTGTTATAGCAGCAGCAAATGGACTAATACAAGTCCATAGCCCCCAGTGAGCGCCTCAGAGTGTCACTGCATTTGCAGAATTGGAGGTGAGATAATTAAGGTCAAATGAGGTCATTAGTGGGGACCCTAAAGGAATATGGCTGACATCCTTATAAGAAAAGTTTGAGTCACAGGTAAGCACAGAGGAGAGACCTGAGAGGACATAGTCAGAAGCCAAGGAGAAAGACCTCAGAAGAAACCAACTATGCTGGCACTTTGACCTCGGATTTTCAGCCTCAAGAACTGGGAGAAGATAAATTTCTGCTGACTAAGCCACCCAGACTTGGGCATTTTATTATGATAGCCCTGGCAAATTAGCACAATGGTTCTCACTAGCTCTGCCCCCTTCCTTTGTGGATTATTTAAATTGCAGCTCCAAATCACAAGAAACAGCAATCTCCTACCCAGTGGCTGGTGATGATGGCACCGTGGCAGATTAAACAAGAGAGCGAGAGACCCCCTCCTTCAGATGCCCTCATCCAGGGAAACTAAGTTTGTTACCTCACACTGGAAAGGCATTTGTAGGTATGATCAGCTAGGGATCTTGAGATGGAAGATTACCAGTGTTACCCCATGAGCTCTGAAATGTGGGAAAGGAAGAAGAAGAGAGGAGGTAGAAATGTGGCAGGAAAAAAAGATAAGCGATCTGAAGCCCGAGAGGGAAGAGATGCCCTATCAGGCTTGGAAGAAAGGGAACAGTTTGGCAAGGAAGACAGGTGGCTCCTAGAAACAGAATGACCTCCACTAATGACCCTCGAAGACATGGGATTGTGGATGGGCACTGTGGCACAGCAGGTTATGCCAATGTTTGAGAAGCCTGCATCCCATAACAGCATCCCTGGGATTGAGTCACACTGATGCTTCTGATCCAACTTCTGGCTAATGCACACCCTGGGAGGCAGCAGGTGATGGCTCAAGTACCTGAGTCCATCACATCCATGTGGGAGACCTGGATGGAGTCCTGGGCTCATGGCTCTGGCTTTGCCCAGAAACAGCTGTTACAGGCATTTGGGGAGTTAATCAGGGGACAGAAAATATCCACCTATCTATCCATATCTATCATCTATCTATCTATCTATCTGTCTGTTGCCCTGCTTTTCAAATAAATAAGAAAAAAAAATTTTTAAAAGAAAGAAGTAGGGACCTGAGTCCCATAATCACAAGGAAATGAATCAACCTACATGAGTTCAAAGCATATTCTTCCCCAGGACCTTCAGTAAGGAGCACAGCTCCCAACACCTTACTGTGGGGAGCAATCCGGACTAGACTAAGTTACTCGAATTAGGACTTATTCTATGCATCTGCTCTCCCACAATATGGCGCTGGGAGAGAAGTAAACAGCTTCCGCACAGCTGCCTCCAGTTCAACCAATAAACTGTAGGACTTGCTCCTGATTGGAGAGCAGCGTACTCGGCGTGTGGGCAGCCGAGTTAGGATTGGCGGAGGAGGACTATAAAGGAGGAGAGAGACGGCATGCACCAGGAACATCTAAGGGGAACATCTGAGGGAACACCTGTGCAGCCCCCCGAGACGAGCCGGCCGGCGGTGTGCCGTTCCCCTGCGGAAGTGGGGAATGCGGCCAGGGGGAACTGCCCTTCCACGGAGGTGGAAGGGATAGTAGCCAACCCGGGAAGAACCAGCAGCAAACCCGGGGAGGGCCGAGCAGACAAAAGAACAGCGCAGGGTCCTGTGTCGTTCCTCCACGAAGAGGGGGAGCGACACCTTACCTTTAGCCCCATTACACCCTAAGCAGTGGACACAGCTGAAGTACCCTGTACTTGCTCCTGACCTATAGAATGGGGAGACAATAAATGTGATCTTGTTTAAAGCTGAGGGCTCATGGTAACTGTTACACTAACAAGAAGAAACTAATTTAGGACCAACGAGGCATGGCTTGTACTCATCATAGGAGTGTGTACTGGTGCAAATACCAGCACTTATTAAGGCTGCATGTTGGGGCTGGCACTGTGGCATAATGGGTAAAGCCACTGCCTGCAGTGCTGGCATCCCATATGTGCGCCAGCTCAAGTCCCAGCTGCTCCACTTCCTATCCATCCCTTTGCTATGGCCTGGGAAGTCAGTAAAAGATGGCCCAAGCCCTTGGGTGCCTGCACCAGTGTGGGAGACCCGGAAGAAGCTCCTGGCTCCTGGCTTCAGATCGGCCCAGCTCCAGCTGTTGCAGCCATTTGGGGAGTGAACCAGCAGATGGAAGACATCTCTCTCTCTCTCTCTCTCTCTCTCTCTCTCTCTCTGCCTCTGCCTCTTTGTAATTCTTTCAAGTAAAATAAATAAATAAATATTTTAAAAAAAGGTTGCCTGTGTTAAAGGACAGCAATACCACATCCAACATGTTGCCCAAAGTCACTGCAGCACTGCTTATTACAGGCCCACCCAGGAAACTCACGCAAGTACAATGGATGCAGTAGTCATGACATGATCATATTGTGGGGAACTACCTTGTGTAGGAAGACCTACAACCTCATACAACTGCTGGGATGAATCTCACAAAGGCAACACAAAAGAAAAGAAAGACACAAAAATACACTCACTGTGCATCTCCACTTATGGGAGGCTTAAAAACCGGCAAAACTCAAATGCCAGTAGAAGTCATTATGGAGATTCCCTGGGAGGGTGAGAGTGAGGTGCTTCTTGGGTGAGTCATGCTGTTTCTTGACCAGGGCTGGGGACGTGGAGTATTTGCTGGGTAAGATCCACGCATGTGTCTTTACCTTACACTTCACAAAACAGTTATCTAAAAATAACAGTAAGAGTTGCTTCCTGGCCAGCACTCCCATGTTCAAAGTCCACAGAATAGATCATTCAACAGCTCTCTGGACTGGGAATTTGAGAGACTGGAAGCACTCTGACGGACCCTCATAATTCAGCCTCCATGAGCTCTCACCTCTTTGGTCTGCAAACTGTCCCTCGGGGCAGGGGCTGCAGTCGAAACAGCACTGAGGGGCTCCCTGTCGGGGAATCTGGCTGAATCCTGGAGCACAGCTTCTGCTGCAGACAGAGCTGGGGACCTAGGAGATGAGCAGTGGTGCCGTCAGCAACCAGTCCAAGGGCAGAGTACAGGTCCTGTCCTGAACCAGCACAGGGAAGCAGCACAGTTTCCTTCCCACTCCCAAGATGAGGCTCCTTTCAGTGGAAAGACGATCTCAGCTGCATCAGAGAAGCAAGAGAGGCGCTCACAAGTGGCGTGAATGAGGTAAACTCTAGGAGGGGATGCACCTGACTCACCTGATTAATGATGGAAACACTTAATCACGCCACATGAACTGGCACCTTTCCAGTCACTCTGAGACTCCCACATCAAGATTGTAGGTTCCCCACCTACACAGGACCTGGAAAGAGACAGTTCTGCCTCCTTCAGCCCATCTCCCACCTCCAGGCCATAGTCACGGGGAGGAAGGTGGAGGAGAGAAGGCGCAGGACAAAGAGTGGATTGTCAGCTCGCCTGCTCTCAGAAGGGTACACAAGGCCTGCACTAGCTCAAGCCGAATGAAAAGGACTTCGAGAGAATCCTCTGCCTGTGTTCCCTGGATCTCTCAGATCCAGGCTTGACTCTCACTTGAAAAATACTAAGGCCAACCCTGAACAGACAGCTGCCAGAAACAAAAGCAAGGTTGCACAGGAGGCAACCTCATGTCCATTGATGGTGGCCAGAGGTTGATTCTGAGAGCCAGAGGAAACACTTAGAAATACCCATCTCAAGACAGCAACCACATTTGTTAAAACGGTAATGCCTTGTAGATATTCTGAGATTATGTTTGGTGAAGTGTATTGCTGTCTTTCCAGGTACCTTTTCAGCTCTTCATTGAGCAGATCCCTGAGTAAGACGTGAAAAATACTCTTGAAGAAATTCCTGATATAGCCTCTGATTCAATTTCAATTCAATTCAACTGAATTTCTGAATTGAAATAGGTCTGACATTTTCATTTTTGGTGGTGAGCTAAGACCCTTTTCCCCTCAAAGAAGGGTCTAGTGTGGCTAAACAACACGGCCGAGTCACAACTGCCCCGTTAGAGCCACATCGACTTTGTGCATCACACAGGAACAGAAGCCACTGGCGTCTGAGTTCCTTCTGCTCCAGAACACCAGGACTGAGGTCATCCATGCACACAGGGAGCTTACCTGGAGGTCCTCCTTCATCAGGTGGACAGTCATTCTCTTCTCTGAAGTAGCTCCTGGGTCAATCACGCCTATGTGGACAAAGCGGAACAGGCCATTGGCAGTCTTCTGCCCATAGAGAATGTCAAACTTTGTAAGTAAATCTCCATTGGAATCAAACATGATCTCTTTCCCATCAGGGGTCTTGAAATGCACCTTTCTGAGGGGATGAAGAAGCTGGGAGAAGGAAAGGTGACATTGTAGAATTGCCAAGGCCAGAGCTTGGGGTGTGTCTCAGGCCACTGGCCACTGCAATGAGCAGGTGAAACTCCTGGCAGGGCCAATGTATCCCTGAGGCACAGAGGCAGAAGGCCTGTGATTTTAGCAAGGGCTTATGGAAGTGTATAAATTTTAACTTCTTATAAAAGCACAAAAAAACCCTAATAAAATAATAATAATATATAATAATGAATCTATCCAAGATTGTATTTATATTTATATAAAGGCAATCACAAAATCAAATTTTCAATGTTTTTCCAATGGACAAAAGTCACCGCGCAGCCCTGGCTCCAGCAACCATTTGGCTGTGCACTCCCATCCTCAGAATGTGATGGGAAGGCTGAGTGGCATCCAAACATCAGCAGGGCCTACCCAGACTGTCCCCTGCCCAGCTACACATCCTGATCCCATACTCAAGTTTCCCACGTGTTCTGCCACACACTCCTCTTGCATGTTCCCGTGCTGGTGCCTCCACACGTGCTGTGCTGCCACGTGGAACCCATTACTCTAGTCCACGGCTGAATCCTCCTCGTCCTTCAGGCTGAAGTTCAGGTACCTCCTCAAAGAGATTTTCCCTGACTTTCCCATCACTCCATCCACTCAAATCTTCAAAGCACAGAAATAGACGTAGCCCAACCTATGGATTTTTAATGTCTCCCCCTGTTAAAAAGTCAACAAATATCACTGTCTTCCCTTCTCACAACCAGAGATATCTTGGGTCCTTAGAGTAGCACCTGGCACAGAGTAGAGGCCCAGGTCATCTGAGTGATGTTAACAAAAACACTCCCATCCCCTTCCTTGGCCTCAGGCCTCTATGATCATCTCAATACCCAGGAACACACGCCTTGAGAGATCCTTTTTATTTTTTTTTAAGATTTGTTAGTTTGAAAGGCAGAGTGACAGAGGAAGAGACACAGATCTTCCATCTGTTAGTTCACTTCCCAAATAGCTGCAATAGCTGGAGATGGACCAGGCCAAAGCTGGGAACTGGAACTCCCTCCAGATCTCCTACATGTACTTGAGCCATCACCTGCTGCCTCTCGGAATACACTTACTAGGAAGCTGGATCAAAAAGAGAGCAGCTGGGATTCAATCCAGCCCTCTGACACGGGGGCTGGCATCTCAAGTGGAGGCTTAACCTGCTGTACCACAACATCTGGCCCAAGGGAGCCTTTTTCAGCTCTGGGCCTAGGCTTTCTATCTGTGACCTGAATGGGCTGGAAAAGACACCTTCTTGGCTGTCTCCCTCTAGTACTCTCAGAGGGCACTGGGTTAGAGGCTGTGTGGAAACTGCATGCTTAATGATGAAAGTGAGAAATCCCAAGTGTCTAGACACTTACAATGCTCAGAATAGGCCAGCAGCTTGTAAGAGGCTGGAGTTCCCACAGACTTCTGGGCCCTGTCAAAACTGCCACAGGGGACTACTGCCGACAAGGCGTTTCAGGATGACTAGGAAGGCCCCATGAGGCATCACTGCCAGGTACACGGATGGGAGCACAGCAGTGTGTGACTGAAGGCATTGGATCGAGGTGGGAGAGGCAGGTTTATGTGGTTGGCAGTGGTGGGCAAGGTCTCTAAGATATGTCAGTACAGAGAAGATGCTTAGCAGGGTGTGTGTTTGTCTACAATGCTGGAGGAGGAGACAGGCAAAAGGGGACTCTGGGACCAAGAGCACAGAAGGCCCTTCCAACATTTACATGGGAGGGGGCCCTCACTGGGAAACCCTCTCTGGTGCAAAACTGAGTCATACACATAAAGCATAATGAGAAAAGTCAACAACAGGGCTGTCTATCAGATAAAATCTTTTGCAATCTGAATTGCAGAAAAACAGCATTTTTTCTTCAGTATAAGGATGTCTCATGCAATACTGGAGACATATATACACTTAAAATTATTTGCTGTTTCTCTGAAATCCCATTCCAAACAAGTATCCAGCATTTTATTGGCCGATCTGGCACCCCTACATGCAAATGAGGTGTCTGACTAGAGAAGACCGAGGAAATCCTTTTCCCACCAAGGCATCCCTGAAGGATGGGTTACAGAGGTGACCACCCCAGGAGTGCTCTCTGGGCAGACACCTGCTGGTGCTGTTCCTGCAGACAGGTGTGTGATCACCCAGTGGGCTCACTTGTTTGAGATGGGGTTCTGGGTCCCCAAGTGTGCAGAGAATGGAGAAATTTACTCCTCAGTTGGATTTTCTGCAGTGGCTTGAGTTATAACAACAAAAGAATGCAGCTCAGTACCTACTATGAGCCAGGCCCTAGCCTAGGTGGGTGATATATTAACACATCAATCCTCACAATATCCAAACAGGTAGAACGTCTCTGTTTTACAAAGTAACTGGGGCTTAGACGCTAGCATAAACACACTACTCACCAAGGGTAGGGGGACAGCGAGCCAGCATGTCTACAAGGCTACCTTCCGTCAGCAGGGCCTGGATATGTCCTGGGATCTACCACTTCATCCTACTGTGAGATGAGTTTACTGAATTCATACATGAAAGTAGGGTTACCAAATAAAATAAGGAGGTTCGGTTACACTGGAATTTCAGATGAAAGATAACTAGTACATCTGAGAAGAATTTGGGACATATTAATGCTGAGAACTATGTGTAGAGTACCTGAAATTCCAATTTAAGCAGGCATCCTGTGCTTGCTGAACAGAGCAACCCCACATGGGCATGACTCATCTGCGGTCACACAGCTAAGGAGTTCTCCAGAGTCCTCATGCAGGGCTTCAGTTGAGATGCTCTGAGCAGTGAGATGGGGCCTCCTTGCTGGTTCTGTTCCACTCTGCACATTGGACGGCGAGAGGCACCCCTGGAACTGCCCACTCCCCTCCCTTCTCTCTCACCTGCCAGGGCTGGAAGTGCAGAGGGTCTGCACATGCCCCATCCTCATGCACACAGTCCCCCAGGGCCTGCAGGGCATGGGCAATGCTGTAGACCGCAGAGTAGGCCACGTCCACTTTGCTCACTTCCTGGAAAGGGTGCTCGTGGCCTCGCAGGCTCTCATTCCCAGAGCACAGCCGAGTGCTTCCCGACGCTGTGCTGTTCCTGGGCGGCCACTTGCATCCAAACGTGACCTCCCAGAACCTCTCGATGAAGGCATCCTCTGGGGTCCGGCTGGGGTGCAGGCGAGCGAGGAACTCGGGGAAGCCGAGCGCCTGGCTGACCTGCAGCATGAGGCCGAACGAGCCCTGCAGCACGCGGGAGACGCCGGGCACTGTCAGCGCCAGCCCCAGGTGAAGCACGTCCTTGCTGACCCACACCTGGCCCGAGACACCGACGCCCTGCAAGCCCAGCAGGAGGAGCTGGAAATTGGAGTTGCTCAGGAAGACCAGCACGACGGTGGCCGTGCAGCTGGCCATCTTCTGGACGAGGGCTTCTGTCTTTTCCAGTGACTGCTGGGAGGGCACGTGGAGGTGGAACTCCAGGCAGACGCCTGCCTGGCCCAGCTCCCGGGCGACCAGAGAGCTGGCCTGCTGCCCAAAGTCATCGTCCTGGGCCAGAATGCCCACCCAGGACCACCGGAAGTGGAGCACTAGCTGGCTCACCGCGTGGGAGGACGTGAGGTCACTGGCCCGGGTCCGCAGGAAGGAAGGGAACTGGGCCTTGTCGCTGAGGCTGGGCAGTGTGGATGAGTAACTGACCTGCAAGGGAAGGAGCCGTGGTGAGAGCTGTGAGAACCAGGAATCCTGGCCCTGAGCCTCAGATGTGATGGAGGGCAGGTGGGCACAGTGAGATCAGAACGAGGGTGACCCACAAGGCCAGCTCCATCCTGCCTTCCGTGAGCACCCTCAGCCCTGAGCAGAGGTGGCAGGCCCCGGTTAGAGCAGAGCCTGGACTGCAGTCTCTTCTCATGGACATCAGTGTCTGCTGTTCGATTGTGGGGCCTGGAGCCTCTCCAGCATTAGCATGGGACCTCACCAGGGGCACCAGAATGCACATTTCTGAGAGTCTCACCACTCTGTCTTCACTTTAAAAAAAAAAGATTATTTATTTATTTATTTGAAAGGCAGAGTTACAGAGAGGCAGAGGCAGAGACAAAGAGAGGTCTTCCATCCGATGGTTCACTCCCCAGATGGCTGCAATGGCCAGAGCTGGGCCGATCCGAAGCCAGGAGCCAGGAGCTTTTCCCGGGTCTCCCATGCAGATACAGGGGTCCAAGGACTTGGTCCATCTTCTACTGCTTTCCCAGACCACAGCAGAGAGCTGGATTGGAAGCAGAGCAGCCGGGGCTCAAACTGGTGCCTTTATGCCAGCACTACAGACAGCAGCTTTACCCGCTATGCCACAGCACCAGCACCTAAGTCTTTACTTTTGAGAACCACAGTCCTAGCCCACCACAGAATCATCTAAATAACACTTTGAAAACACCTAGACTGAACCCTCCTCCTGTCCACACCATCAGGAGTGACATAAATCTCACTCTGGGCAGCACTGTCACACAGCAGGTTAAGCCACCACTCACCACAGCCGCACCAGTTTGGGCCCCAGCTGCTCTCCTTATGGTCCAGCTCCCTGCTGATGCACCTGGGAAAGCAGTGGATCATTGCCCAAATACATGAGCCCCTGCCACCAATGTGGGAAACCCAGATGTAGTTCCAGGCTCCTGGGTTTGGCCTGGCTAGCCTTGGCTCTTGGGGCCATTTGGGGAGTAAACCAGTGGATGCAAGACGAATATGTGTTTGTGGTGTGTGTGTGTGTGTGTGTGTGTGTGAGAGAGAGAGAGACTCAATCTTTCAAATAGATACATGCATCTTTAAAAATAATCTCTCACTCTCATTGTAGGAGAGTTTGCATGAGGGTTTTGGAGATAAATCTCTATGAATTATGCAGCTTCCACCAAAATGCCCAGGTAGGATCTCCTGTTCTTGTGCCCCTTATTGGCTGGTTAAGCTCCAGTTGTGTCTCCTTTAGGCACCTGAAATGAGACCCAGGGGCAGTTAAATTTTACCTCCATTCCTCTCAGGGTCCTCCTCTTTTGCCCCCAACAATCTGTTTCTTGGCCAGCCTCAGTTCTGACTAGCTTTGGCTTGCACAGAGCAGACCAGTTACTCTGTACTGGTGGCAGCAACGATGCAGAATATGTTCCCGTGGCCTGGTGGTCTGAGCAACAACAGAGAATTTGGTTTGCCAATTTTCACTTGTTTGTAGATTTGTTGAGGAGGGAAAGAGATGTGGACTCACACAGCATAGTGTCTGTGTTTGGGTTTGACCCCTGGAACCCTGTTACAGAATGAAGTGGTTCACTCTCCTTGTCTGGATGCAAAACATTCTCTGACCACCAGAGGGCAGTGATGGAATGGGTTATGTAAAGCTCACGCTGTTTATCTCCAAAGGCTCTGATGTGACTGGTTTCTACAGAGGCTGACTCTGTCTCCTATAAGCAGGGCTACCAGATTTCACAAATAAAAATACAGGATATCCAGCTAAATGTGAATTTGGTGTAAACAATGCATAATATTTTAGCATGTTTCATGGAATATTTGGGATAAACATACTAAAAATTAGTTGTTAATATGAAATCCAAATTTAACTGGGGATCTTGTATTTTATCTGGCAATCCCACATACATATGAAAACAAGAATTTCTTTGAGCTGTGTTCAAGACATGGAGTTTCTATTCTTGTTTATGTGGTTCAATCTGAACAAAAGAAACATCTTTAGAGAAACCTCCAAGTCAGAAGCACCTTATGTAAAAATTCAAGTTTAGGTGATCCTTGGACAAATCTGATTGAACAATTTGGGGTTAAAAACATCAATGGGGGGGCTGGCGCTGTGGCACAGTGGGTTAACGCCCTGGCCTGTAGCGTCAGCATCCCACATGGGCACCGGTTTGAGACCTGGCTGCTCCACTTCCGATCCAGCTCTCTGCTATGGCCTGGGAAAACAGTACAAGATAGCCCAAGTGCTTGGGGCCCTGCCCCCTCAAGGGAGACCTAGAAGAAGCTCCTGGCTCCTGGTTTCAGACTGGCACAGCTCCAGCTATTGCAGCCAATTGGGGAGTGAACCAGTGGATAGAAGACCTCTCTCTCTCTCTCTGCCTCTCCTCTCTCTGTGTAACTCTGCCTTTCAAATAAATAATTCTTTAAAAAAAAAACAATGGGTTCATTTGCAGAGATTATGTGTTTAGTTGCAGAGTTCTATAGGAATTGCATGTCCTTTTTATCATGATAGAATTGGGCCTATCGTGCAATAAAGCCCATATCTCAAATGCCACTCTTGAAAATAAAAATCACCACATGACAAGCTCCCCCCACCAAAAAAAAGGAGCAACAGTTGGGCTTCCTCTGGGGGCACAAACAGCCACAAAGCCTGCCTGGAAATGCCTTTTAAATCTGTCCAAGATTCATAAGTAGGAAGGAAAGCCCTACCCAGCAGGCCAGGAAATTTAGCAAGCGTAAGGCATTCAAACAGACAGGAATTGACCCAAGTTTATAGGTTTCACAGTAAAAAAATGAGTGGGTTTAAATTAGAATCCTCATACAATGCTGGTAGGAATTTCAAATGGGAAAGCCACTTTGGAAAACACTCTGGCAGTTTCTCAAAGAGTTAAACATTGAGTTATCATTTGACCAGCAGTTCTACCAATATCCCCAAGAGAAATGTTAACATCAATGGCCACAAAGATCTACACATGAATGTTTATAATCACACTATTACCCAGGGTCAAAAAGAGAAAAGAGTTCAAACATCTGTGAATAGATGAATAAATAAACATACCAGAGAATACTAATTACTGATAAAAAGAAATGGAGTACTGACACACACAGCTCAGTGAAAGAACAGTCACGAAATACATGTTGTGTGACTCCATGGGTAAGAAATTACATAAAAGACAGAGCCGGCGCCGTGGCTCAATAGGCTAATCCTCCACCTTGCGGCGCCGGCACACCGGGTTCTAGTCCCGGTTGGGGCGCCGGATTCTGTCCCGGTTGCCCCTCTTCCAGGCCAGCTCTCTGCTATGGCCAGGGAGTGCAGTGGAGGATGGCCCAGGTGCTTGGGCCCTGCACCCCATGGGAGACCAGGAAAAGCACCTGGCTCCTGGCTCCTGCCATCGGATCAGCGCGGTGCGCCGGCTGCAGCGGCGGCCATTGGAGGGTGAACCAACGGCAAAGGAAGACCTTTCTCTCTCTGTCTCTCTCTCTCACTGTCCACTCTGCCTGTCAAAAAAAAAAAAAAGAAAAGAAAGAAAGAAATTACATAAAAGACAAATCTACAGAGGCAGCGTATAGGCGAGTGGTTGCCTTGGAGTATGGGGTCATGGCAAATGGTAGGTACTAGGTTGGAGTTTGTTCTCAAATTGATTGTGGTGATGATTGTATAACTCTGAACATATCAAAAGTCATTGGGTAAATTTTATGGTACATGAGTTAAATGTCAACCTGTTAAAAATAGAAGCCAAAAAGAAAAAGCCCTCAGACACGGCTCCTGTTATGGAAACCACACTGAGACCTGATATTCAGGACACCAGTCTGGCAGCGTGAGGCTGGTAGCACGAGCCCATGGCCTGGATTTAAATCCTGGCTAATGCATGTCGTGGCTGGGTAAGCTTGGGTCCACTGTTAATTTTTCTCTAAATCTCAGTCTCTTCCTCAATGCAGTGGGGATTACAGTTCTCGCAGAATAGCTTCTGGCTGTCCTGCCCTAAGAGGACAATGGCATCGAAATCGGCATCGGCAAGGAGCCTGCCCCGCAGTGGCACTGCCTCCACCGCTCCACCACTGTCCTCATTGTTACCATCACTTTTGCCAGCGAGGGGAAGGGCTTTGGGGTAACTCACCTGGGGAAATTTATAGAGCCCCAGCAGCCTGGCCATGGAGACTGACAGAGCTGACCGCGTATCTCCAATCAGGGCAGCCTGGGGAGGGCTGAATCCACACGCGTAGTTGGGGATCGGCTCCTCCTGGCCAGTGAGAAAGCCCAGTGTCTCATGGAGGGCTCCATGCACTGAGTCCCCAGAGTTGCGGATGGAGAAGCCCAGCGTGAGGTTGGGCAGCAGGTGGGTGTCCCTGTTGATCTCCTCAATGGCAAAGACAAAACCCTGGGCCACACGGTAGCCCCACCTGGAAACGCTGAGGGAGAGAGAAGCCAGTTAACCTTTGCTCTGGGTGCAGGGAGCAGAAAGATTGCAGTGAGCGATTTCTAGGTGTGCACATTCTCAAGAGCAGTGTCCCATAAGCCTACTCGAGTAGGCACACCCGGCTCCCTGGGGGCCCTAAACTATCTCCAGAGTGGAAGGATCCCTGGGTTCTCCCCAGCCCTGTCCGCTCCTCCTCCAGCCACGCTGATGGCAGAGAAGAACTTACAGCCCACTTCTCACCGGAGAGGAAAACTTGTCATCTGGCTTTGCAGAGAAGGTTCCACCTTATGCTCACAGAACATTCTCTTTACCATGTGTTAGGTTATCACATTTGAAAGGACAAAAAAAAAAAAAAAAACCTACTTGAATGAGCTTGTATCATAACATGAATATTATTGAGAGTATGCTTTCCAGGCTGAAGTGGTTCATTCATTGTTCTAGGCCTGCTTTAGTCCTTTGTAATTTGTGGTAATTATGCTTTTCTTTTTAATACAAAATATGTATACAAATAAAAAATTTGAAAAGGAAAAAAAAAAAGAGCAGTGCCAACATACAACCCCTCATGCACATACATGGAACATAATTCAGGATAGCCAAAAGGGGACAAGGAGAATGAGAGATGTTGGTCAAAGAGAAGAAAGTGCACTTCCAGTTAGAAGGAAGAAGTTTCAAGATCTATTGCACAGCACGATGAGTAGAGTTATAAAATTGCTGAGGATGCATGCTACATGTTCACATCACAAAAAATGATAAGTATATGAAATGACAGATATGCTCATCAGTGTGATTTAACAATTCCACAATGTGTAAATATACTAACGCATCACACCGTGCTCCATAAACATGCACAATCATTGTTCATCAATTTTTAAAATAACCTGACAATGTCAAGTGATGCCAAGAGTCTGGAACGACTCAAAGTCTCATGCATTTCTGGTGAGAATGCAAAATGGTGCATTCTTTGAAAAGCCTTTTTGAAATTTTTTAAATAAAGCTAAACATATTTATTTTAAAATATAACCAAAAGGACTATGTCTAGAACTCCTGTCTTCAAGATCACATTGGGAAACTCAGGACGGAACTGGAAGATGTACACACAGGCAGAGATGAACCCCAGGGCCTGGTCAATTCATAAGGAGACCTGTTCATTCCACAACATGTATTCATTAAGCAAACACTCCTGCCATGCATCTGGCACTGTTCTAAACACAGAGAGATGGCAGTGGACAAGAGACAAGAACCCCTGCCTGCCTGTAGGGTTCATGTTTCACAGTCAATGAGAAACAAGCGACCCTTATTTCAAACACAGATACAGACAAGAAAACAAAGCTGGACAGAGGTGCTGAGGCAGGACTTGGGACACAGGCTGACCAGCATTCATACAGATGGGACCGACCCTGGCCCAGCCATTGCCCTTGGCCTTCAGGGGCTCCCCACCACCCTGCTGGGCAGTCACTTACGCTGAAGACGGCAAGCCAGCTGGTGGAGCAGTGAAATCAAACAGGGTAATGTTATCAAAGGGAAAGATGGAGAAGCTACCCCCAACCACCACATCTCCAGGACGGTCAAAGCGGGGGCTTTTCCCTGGCAACCGCCAGCCTGTTGGCCCAGAAAGAACAGCCCCCAAGAGAGATCCCATGAGGGCAGGGAGCAGGGAACACAGCCACATGCCTGGAAGGGGGCTCAACAGCTGGTGACACAGCCCCTTCATCAGACTGAGCCTGACAGCCACAGGGGCTTTATCTGGAAGTCTCCCTTGATCAGGGACCTGGGGGCTGGGGACACACTTGGAACCCTAGGCATGCAGGCCAGAGAGAGAACAACAATGCTTACCTGGGACTGGGAGGCCACCAAGTCCCAAGGCCATTAAAAGTTTTATTTCCATCCCTCTGTGACCCCTCAATCCTCTCCCTCAAGTTAAGCATAATAGCTTTGAGGGGGACTGAGGAGCCCGTACTGTGCGCTCAGGGACTTAGGAAGCCCAGGGGCAGCTGTGCCCTGGGTCACCAGGTTGCTGCTTTGGAAAGAGGCCCCAGGAGAGTTCAAGAAGCAAAGAACCTCCTGACCACCACCCTCCCCTCCTGATTCCTCACCCAACAACATGTGCACAAGTGCGATGTCCCCAGAGCTACAGGTGACCATGGCCAACACTTCCTACACCAGGGCCACCTACTGGAGGGTCCCAGGCAGAGAAAAGGCAAGTTCAGCCCCAGGAGGCAGCTTGAAGGTTAGGCAGGCTGAGCCTGTGGGTCCTGCAGTCAGGGAGGCTGGGCTGACCCAGCTCTCACTGCTGAGCAGGAAAGTTGGTGCTCCACACCCCCATGAGGTGAGGCTATAGCTCTCTGCAAACAGAAAAAACTGCTCAATATCATTTCCATCAAGGATTTGTAAATGAAAACCACAGTGAAATAAACACCTGTTCACACCTACTAGGACAGCTATAATAAACATTTCTTTAAAATGTTTTGTGAAACGAAAATGACAAGGTTCATGTGGATATAAAGGAACTGGAACCCTGTTTATTGCTGGTTGGAATGTAGACGGTACAGCCATTTTTAAAACAGTCCACCAGATGTTCAAAATGTTAATCAGAGTCACCACATGACCTACCAGTTCCACTCCTTGGTACAGGCTCCACAGACACACGTTCAAGCTACTGTTATACCAGCATTATTTCTAAGAATTAAAAAAGTGGTATTAATGAGCAATTTTGTGTAACACTTAAGTAATCCATCCCCACTCCCAATGGTGAACTATTCTCAACTGTTTCTTACTAAAGCTCAAATGATTTTTGCTTTTGGTTCTATGCCCTATATCCGTTTGGACTTGATTTTTGAGTGTTAGGTGACCATATGAGGTATTCCTTTGAAGAGAAATCCTTTTATTTTTATTTTTTTTTTATTTTTTTTTATTTTTTGACAGGCAGAGTGGACAGTGAGGGAGAGAGACAGAGAGAAAGGTCTTCCTTTTGCCGTTGGTTCACCCTCCAATGGCCGCCGCGGCTGGCGCGCTGCGGCCGGCGGCCGGCGCACCGCGCTGATCCGATGGCAGGAGCCAGGAGCCAGGTGCTTTTCCTGGTCTCCCATGGGGTGCAGGGCCCAAGCACCTGGGCCATCCTCCACTGCACTCCCTGGCCACAGCAGAGAGCTGGCCTGGAAGAGGGGCAACCGGGACAGAATCCGGCGCCCTGACCGGGACTAGAACCCGGTGTGCCGGCGCCGCTAGGTGGAGGATTAGCCTAGTGAGCCACGGCGCCGGCCTGAGAAATCCTTTTACATTTCTTTAAGATTTATTTATTTGAAAGGCAGAGTGACAGAGAAGAGATATGGAAAGATCTTCCATCTACAAGTTCATCCCTTAACTTGCTATAATAGCTGGGGCTGGGCCAGGTCAAGAGCCAGGAACTGCATTCTCCCACACGGGTGGAGGAATGCAAGTAGGTGGCCACACGCTGCTGCCTTCTCAGGCACATCAGTAAGATGCTGGATTAGAAGGAAACAATCAGTGGACTTGAACACACACTCCAAAATGGATGCAGGTTTTGCAAGCATTGGCTTAACCTGCTGCACCACAACACCAGCCCCTAAGAGAAATAATTTTTTTAAAAGATTCATTTATTGACTTGAAAGCCAGAGTTACACACAGAGAAGAGGAGAGGCAGAGGCAGAGGCAGAGGCAGAGGCAGAGGCAGAGGCAGAGGCAGAGGCAGAGGCAGAGGCAGAGGCAGAGGCAGGGAGGGAGGGAGGGAGGGGCCTTCCATCTGCTGGTTCACTCCCCAGTGGCCACAATGGACGAGAGCTGCGCCGGTCAGAAGCCAGGAGCTTCTTCCGGGTCTCCCACATGGGTGCAGGGGCCCAAGGACTTGGGCCATCTTCTGCTGCTTTCCCAGGCCATAGCAGAGAGCTGGATCAGAAGAGGAGCAGCCAGGACTAGAATCGGTGCCCATATGGGATGCCAGCGCTTCAGGCCAGGGCGTTAACCCACTGTGCCACAGTGCCAGCCCAAGTCTCTGTTTCATCTACTGGCGTGAGCCTGCTGAATCACGAGCTTCCAAAGGGCTAGAGCCTTGGCAGGTTCTTCCACCCTCAGTGTCTGGAACGATGCACGTGATCAGCAGCTGACCAGTGGATGTCAGTGCTCAGTCCCAGGCCTCGGAAAGCGGGTCCTCATCTCCTTCCTTAGCTCATAGCTTGCTACTGCCTCATCTCAGCATGGGGCACTCCAGCCATCCTGAGCTGGGTCCCAGAGCCTGGAGCCTCCTTGAATATTTCTCACTCCCCACGTAAATTTCAGAATAAAATTATTAAAGGGTGAGGGGGTGGCACACATTTAGCTTAGTAACTAAGACACCAATCGAGATGGCCATGTCCTGTATCAGAGTCCCTGTGTTCAACAGCCTACTCAGCCTGCCGATTCCAGCTTCCTCTTAATGCAGACCTTGGAAGGCAGCGATGATGGCTCATGGAGCTGGGCTCCTGCTGCCCACATGCAGTCCAGGGTTGAGTTCTATCTACTCCTTTGGGCTTTGGGGTGGGCATTTGGGGAGGAAACTAGTGAATGGGAAGTTTCTTTAAATAAAAAACTATATTTTTAAAAATATTTATTAATGTATTTATTTGAGAGGTACAGTTACAGAAAGAGAGAGAGAGACAGAGAAAGAAAAGATCTTCCATCTGCTGGTTCACTCCCCAAATGGCCACAACAGCCGGAGCTGGGCCAGTCTGAACCCAGGAGCCAGGAGCTTCTTCTGGGTCTCCCATGCGGATCCAGGGGCCCAAGCATTTGGACCATCTTCTATTGCTTTCCCAGGCCATAGCAGAGAGCTGGATAGGAGGAAGAAGAGCAGCTGGGACTTGAATCAGTGCCTGTATGGGATGCCAGCACCACAGGTGGAAGCTTAGCCTACTATGGCACGGCGCTGGCCCCAGTAAACTACAATTTAAAATATTATTTATGGAGTCAGCACTATGGTGTAGGAGGTAAAGATGCCACCCGTAGTGCCAGCATCCCACATGGGTGTTGGTTAGAGACCCGGCTGCTCCACTTCTGATCCAGCTCTCTGCGTGGCCTGGGAAAGCAGTTGGGAGGGCCCAAGTGCTTGGGCCCCTGAACCCACGTGGGAGTCCTGGAAGAAGCTTCTGGCTCCTGGTTTCAGATCGGCAAAGCTCCAGCCATTGTGGCCATTTGGGGAGTGAACCAGCAGACGGAAGATCGATCTCTCTCTCTGCCTCTGCCTCTCTGTAATTCTTTCAAAAAAACTTTTAAAAATTATTTTAAAATATTCTATGGGACACACTGATATCACAAATATATTCATTATGTAACTTAAATTTAGCTGGGCTTTCTGAAATTTTATTTACTAAATCTGGCAATACTTCTGTGGGCAGATATATGGGACATAGTTATAGTAAAAATTACTCTTATTCATGTATTTAAACATTTTCAAAATATACTAAATATGAAACACACCACACTAAAAAAAAAATCCATTTTTATCTGAGATTGAAATCTAACCGGGCTTCTTCTAGTTTTGAATCGCTAAATCTGGCAGCCCTATTCTGGGACATACTTACACGAAACACACTCATATTTTAAAAATTAAACATACTACCGGGCACACACTTCTTTATAAAGCAGCTCGCTGTTGATGGGGAATTTCTGCATTCTGCTCAGAGCATGCATCTAACCGCCCAGCAGTCGGTGATGCGGCGTCCTCGCCCTCGCCGACCCCACTGCCAAGGTGACTGGATCTCGGGTCCAGGATTACTCCCGGGGGGGCTTCCAATCCGCTCTGGCAGCCTCCTGTCCGCCACCTCCGCAAGGAGCCCCGCTGGGCTGGCCGGGTCAGTTGCAGAATGAGCTGTGGTCTGCTGATGTCTTACGCTTGTCCGACGCATGCCCTGACCATCCATGTGCCCCTCGGCCATTAGCCCCAGGAGAGGCAGCCGGGGCGGGGCACAGCACAAGGGAGGAGATGAGCGCGGGCTGGGTGTGGGCTGGGGGAGGGTGCCCATTATGGGTACTGCAGTCTCCAGGGACGACAGGGGACTGGGCCCCACAGGAATGGCAGGAGGTACTGCGGGATAATGCAGAGGCCTCAGGCCCTAATTGCCATCCCTCCCCCCATGCCCCCACCTGCCCTGTGAGTATGGACCAGAAAGGGGCCTCCTCCCTGGCCCTCACTCCAGACTTCACGGGCCCCAACCCAAGCCCTCCCTTATCCTAACCTGACCAGTACCTCCCCATTCTGGGCCCATTTATTTATCACTTCATGTGCAGCTCCCATCGTGTGTCATCCTAAGCTCCCAAGCCCTGCTCCACCCTCGTGCCCCATAAGCTCCCATCTCAGACCCAAGGCCCTGTTCACGAAATGCATCTGAGCATGTTCACCACCTCACTAAGCCTGCAGAGCCCTCCTCCCCTTCCCCAACAGAACTCAATCTCAGTGCACAGCCCGAGGGGCTCAGAGACACCCCCCCCCACACACACACATCAATCCCTGTGCATCCTAAAGTGACTCTCCAGGACCCGGGGCCACCACAGCTCTCCCATGGGGGATCCCAGACACCCCTCATTCACCCAAAAGGGACAATATACAATGTTCATGGTCCCATTTTTTTCAGGGGCTTAAATCTGGAAAAGCATTCCCAGGACTTTTCCTTCCCCTGAGGAGCTGCGTTTCCATACACTTTTCCATGTCTGTTTCATGCTTTCCTCTGTCCATTTTCCAAGACACGTGGTATAACACTGTCAGCACACACGTTCAACGCCCAGTCACATCTGGTCCTTAAAGGACACCTATTAGATTGGATGGTAAGCACATCTGTGGTTTTGCAGTACCCCTCTGAAACAAACGTAATGCATTTCTTCTTGTATGAACATCTACATTCAAACTGGAAAGTTGAACCCTTAGGGTTCCTACTTAAGCTCTGACGAATCAACAGCTGTATCCACATCAACTAGAGAATCCTTGCACATCTCATCACTGCCCAGGCAGCCAGCCACTCAGTGCAGAGAACTTTAAGAGCATCACAGGGCTATTTAGCTGCTTTAAGAGTGAAATGAGGGGTTGGTACTGTGGCATAATGGGTAAAGCCATCAACTACAACGTCAGCATCCCATATGGACATTGGTTTGAGTCCCAACTGATCCAGTTCTGATCCAGCTCCCTACTAATCTGTCTGGGAAAGCAGTGGAAGATGGCCCAAGTCCTTGAGCTCCTGTACCCACGTAGGAGACCACGAAGAATTTTCTGGCTCCTGCATCCAGACCAACCCAGCTCCTGCCATTGGGCCATTTGGGGACTGAACTAATGGATGGAATATCTGTCTCTCTCTCACTCTCTGTAATTCTGCCTTTCAAATAAATAGATCTTTAAAAAAGTAAAATGCAGAACACTGAATCTTTAAAAGTTAGATTTCCCTCCTTTTCCATGGGCATGCCTTTTATTGAATACTTCATCTGAACCAGAAGAGGTACTGTAGAGGGTTTTTTTTTTCCCCTCATTCAAAAATTGTTTTGAATAAACATATAACACTTGTACATTTTTATGGTGTAGAGGGTTTACATGGTGCTGCCACAGGATGCTGCCATCCAGGCTTT